ATTGAGTTCTCTGGCAGCCAGGTAAAGCCTGAATTATCGATGACATGGCCATGAGCATCCCGCCCATCGTTAGGGGCAGGGGTCAGCAGGTTGCTGATTCCCAACACCACTCTTCATCTTTCAGGACTTCAGAGGTGAACATTCGTGTGTGTGTGTGTGTGTGTGTGTGTGTGTGTGTGTGTGTGTGTGTGTGTGTGGCACAGCAGGCCCTTCACCAGGCTGCCTGCTATACCCTACTTCCTTGCTGATGGGGTCTAGCTATGTCTTTCCTTCCCACTGAAAGCATACAGGTTTATGCTAGAGAGGAGGCTACCTAAGGGGACCTGGGGATTGGAAGTGGATTGCAGGTCTAGGGTACCCACTCAGAACCATCCTAAGAATCCTGGGGAGGACAGACACCATCCATGGTGACAGGTTTGAGATGACCTGCCCAGGACAGGGGAGCAAGGTCTCCTAAGCTGAGCTTGGAAGCCTTTGTCCCACCAGGGCCTCTCAAACACTGCCTTAAGGATCTCACTAACCTGGAAGTGACTGCAGGGCTCCCAGGCAGGGGAAACAGCTGCCTACTCTTCTGTCCCCATGCCCATGTCAGTGCTAAAAGGGACCATGCGAGGCCGGTGGACCTAGGTGTCCCTATCCTTTAAGCCTTGCATGCTGCAGTCACTGTAACAGGGGCTGTGGAGAATGAATGCATAGCAACATCTCGCTGCCTTTCAGGTGTTCACGATTCATCCTGACCACTGGGATGGTACACAACACGTAGCACCAGGCCCCAAGTGTTCTATCTACCCTGTGCTATGGATACTTCCCAAAGCCCTCCCTCTCTGCTCTTTCTCTCTTCTTCCATACAGCTCCCTTGACTTTCTACCCTAGGCTCAGGGTTCACTTTGCCAAGGTTGGATGGTCACTTTAGCTCCCTTCCCCTCACTGGATATGCTTCAAACTGACCATTGACCCCAATCCTATATGGCAGCGGGACTCAACTCCTCCCCATGCTCCTCTCCTCCACTGGCTGAAGGCCATTTGGCTGCCCTTTGGTGGTAAGGGCTCCTGTAAAATCAAAACTAAATACTTTCTCACTTCAAGAGGGAAGAACCAGGGAACAGACACAATCAACTCGAAGCAAAAGCAAACTCCAACAGTATAAATAACTCACTGTCCAGTGTCTGGGAATCACTCACCATCTTCTGGGCTCCTCCAAAGGGTTTTTCTCTGGCTCCGCCCTCTGCAGCTGCAACACACCTAGCTTGTTTCTAGGCTCTGGTTGGCTCCACCATTCACTGCTGTTCTTGGCAGTCACCCTGTGGCACTGTCATCTCCAAAACTGCTGTAGTCTTCTGCTGCAACTGGGTTGCATTTTTATCAATGGCCTCTCCTGGGCTCCATTCATGACTCCAACCCTGCCACACAGTGCCAAGCTTCAGCTGCTCTCCATGACCCCTTCACACCTTCAAAACCAACACTACCTGGGTGACTCTTACACTACCAAGATCAACTGCCAGGACCAGGTACAACCTCCTGTGTGCTAGCTCTTAGGAAGCACTTCCAAGATGTCACCTCAACAATTCTGGTCTTTTGTTAATCACAGCTGGTTCTTCAGCCCCAGCTGACCAGCATCCATTATCCCAGCAAAGCAGAGGTTTTACTTTAGTAGTTCTGGTCTCTTGGTAATCACAGTCGATTCCTCAGCTCCAGCTGGCCAGTACCACAGATTCTTAGTTCAAATGGCCCAATAGAGTCTTTACTTCCCTCTAAATCTTAACAAGCCAGGCCTCAATAATCTGCACTGCTCACATTCTTATCTTCCAAGTTCCTACAGAACATCCTACTGAGCTTTTAACACTCAATGGCTTTTCTAGCCCAATTCTACACTCCTTCCACAATCATCCCCAAAACATGGTCAGGTCTGTCACAGCAATACTCCACTACCCTGGTCCCAATTTGTCCTAGTTAAGGTTACTCTTGCTGTGATGAAACACCACGAAAGGGTTAACTTGGCTTTCATGTCCACATCACAGTTCATCACTGAAGGAAATCAAGACAGAAACTCAAACAGGGCGGGACCTGGAGGCAGGAGCTGATGCAGGGGCCATGGAGGGGAGCTGCTCACTGCCTTGTTCCTCACGGCTTGCTCAGCCTGCTTTCTTATAGAACCCAGGACCACCAACCCAGAGATAGAACTACCCACAATGGGCTGGGCCCTCTCCACCAATCATTAATTACGATCTAACAGAGGCATTTTCTCAATTGAGTCTCCCTCTTTCCTGATGACTCTAGCTTGTGTCAAGTTGACATAAAGGGAAGAGCATAGTTCAGACTGGGAGGGATAGCCTATCCCACCAGTATGCACCTAGATTTCCACTGTGTGTTGGGATACGTTTTACTGCTTGCTGGTTAGGAAGACAGGCTCTTGGAGAGCAGTCATTCTAATAGACCTTGACCTGGCCCTGGAGCTGTGGAAATGTGAGGTCTGGCTTTTCTGGAGCTGGGCAAAGGCTAGGCCAGCCCCAGGGGCCAGGTCCTTGGTCTGGAACATTATGGACTTTGGGACCATTAACTGTGAGCATGGTTGCCGGGTTTCCTGGCTGGAGTGGACATGGCAGGGAAACCCCATTCTGTTCTTTCTCTTCCTGGATCTGCCCAAGGATGGCCCGAGTGCTCTCAAGTCAGCTTGGGCCATGGGAGGAAGTGACAGCTGGGCTTCTATTCCTCATGAGCCCTGCCAGCCAGGGGCTAGGAAGGTGCCAAGTGCCCATCTCATTCTTCAAACACCTGCACAGTGAAGTGCCACTCTGTCTCACTGGTAGGAGGCTTGGAGCTAAAGGGCTCCCTAGAGGCACTGCTGAGTTGAAGTGGACTGCTTGCTCCTAACCTCAGAGACCAGACCCCACCAGACAGGCTTGCCTCTCACAGACCTGCTGGGAAATGGGCTGGAGAGGTAGGTGTTGGTGGACTGGCTTCAGGTGATGCTGGATGGGCAAGGAATGTTTATTCTCTGGGGGTAACAATGCTGTTATCAGAGACTAAGTCAGGGTTTGATATCATATGAGACTGAGCTGCAGAGTCCACCCACGCTCCTCCAGATGTCTGTGGATCTGCAAACTTCAGGCCTTGCAATGAAAACTGTGACTGGAAGCTAGAAACTGCTGAGGTTGGGGCTTGGCTCCTGGCTAGTCCTGACCACTCCAGCACATGGCACCATCCTGGGTACCATCCTTCACTCCCACAGCCTAGACTGAAGGCAATTACCAGGACTTAAACAAATGATAGGCTATTGTATATTCAAGAAACCAAAACGACTGTCCTGGTCTTGTGGAGCCCTCCCAGTGCCAGCATCTGGTTTCTTAGAGAGCATTCTGGAAGCTTCCTTGCTCTTCCCTAAGTGGTTGTCTCTAAGTAATACAGGGCTCATTATAACCCTAGTCCACTCCAAGGAACAGCTGCTTCAGGAATCTTAATACAGCAAGGGCCAGGCCAAAAGGAGCCCAGTACTCCGGAGTACATGCTGAGTTTGTCAGGGTATATACCTCCATGACATATGGCTCATGTGGCTTGAGTACCACACCTGGTCCTGTGGATAAGATGCCTCTCACTGAGCTCCATGAGGGCACAGACCTGTCGGTCTCACAGATAGTCACACTCTGCCATCCTCCTCTGGGTCCGTGGGTGAGTTCTTATAGACTCCTCTTTGTCATTCAGAACAGGTAGTCTGAGGCCTTGCCTTTCAAGCTGTAAGTAGTGGCCTGAGGGTACACATTGCTGACACAGCCAGTTATGGGAGTGTGTGGACTCACATACATACACACCACCCACCTTCTATCACCCAGACTCTGTTCAAATTCATCAAGCTACCTGACCATCACTTGCAGATAATTTGAGACATGTTCCTATTACTCCAAGGACTCATGTGTTGGATGGACAGTCTGGCATGGCAATGGCAAGGGTCCTGCAGGTTTCCCAGGCAGGCTTGAGACTGATTACCCTCTGCTCACCAGGAAATGGGGCATCAGGCAGCCCCAAGAGTGCATGAATCCACGCTGCCAACATGCAGAAAGGAGACATTGGGCTCTCAAAGACCTCATGATGCCATCACTGCTTTCCACAGATCTGGCCTGAAGCACTCGAGCTTCCTAGTCAATGCCTTGAGCTCAAGGGTCGAGTTCCCCTTGTCCAGTAATTAGGTGGCCAGTACCTTTGCAAGTCCAAGTCCAGAGAGGGGCATGGCCGCCAAAGGCTGGGGGAGGAGCAGTGCTGGTGTGGAGACTGGGCATCCCTACCCAGGACCCCCAATCCCACAGACCACCCCTGCATCCAACCTCCCTGCATTCTACCACCTTGGGATCTGTTAAGCCAGAGTTGCTGTCAGTCATTCTGCTTTGGACTCTAGCCCCTCCCCAATTGTTCTACTTTGCCACTAATACGCATGGTTCTGTGACCCCTGCCCTGCACAAGTGCTCCACCAAAGCCCATTAGGAGAGAGGCTGGCTTCGGGGAGCCGCGCCCCCTCCTAACTCACCACAAACTGCCAGCAGCCTTCTATCTGCTAATCATTATCTTAGTAACCGTGTTGGAAACCAGTTCAAGGGTGGGGACAGTGTTAGAGTATAGGGACAGGGATGAGGTGGGTGGCCTAAAACACTTAGGCCAGCCTTCTGTTCCTGTTAACTGAGTCTGGGTGATAGAAGGGGTGTGTGTGTGTGTGTGTGTGTGTGTGTGTGTGTGTGTGTCTGTGTGTGTGTGTGTGTGTGTAGCGCGCGCGCGTCCAGCAGATGCTCTGTTTCTGGGCCCTGCACAGCCAAGCACACTCCATCGGTGCCTTTGGAACCCAAAGACGCTGATACCCAAACGAGGGGCATGCACAGCTCTTGCAACCAGTGCAACTCTAACCTGTGGTCCGGGGCTGGCCAAAGCTCAGATCCCTGGACCTGCGACTGCGTTAGCAGATGAGGCCCTGGCACAGCTTTACAGACGTGCACGAAAGAGCCCGCGCAGACTTCTGCAGGCCAGCAGGATCAGGGGCGGATCCGGGGAGGGGCCTCTGTCCTAGGCCGGGCATTCACCTCTGTGCTTAATCAGACCAGGCAGTCCGCTGTGAGCCACGACCCAGTGCAGCCGGGTAAGGGTCTCGTTATGGGGCTCAGGCCGGCCAGGCAGCTTGCAAGGCCGAGAGGTCGGGTGAAGAGCAATCGGGGATGAGGGAGGGGGCGGGGAAGAAGGGCAGTATGGAGAGGGTTGGCGTGGGGAGGGAGCAAAGGAGCGGGAACGCGAGGAGAGCGAGCGTGCTGAAGGGGCAAGGAATCTAGAAATGTAAGGTCTGAGCGAACAAGCTGGGAAACGCGCCGCGGGTCGCCCACGCCTCAGGGAACCACATGATCCAGTGACTAACCTCAGTGTGGAGGGCGCGCTCGCGCTCGTACGAGGCTTTTCTGGGATTAGCTGCGGGTGTGGCCAGGTGTTTGCTCCGCCCCCTAGTTGTTCTGAGGCTGCGCTCTCGACTCACCACGATGGCCACTCCTTTGGGGCGTGGTCAGACTAGGTAGTCCCGCCTCTCCGTGCTGCACTTAGGCCTTCGCGCAGGTTTGTGGGTGTTGTAGTGCGCTTGTGCGCGAAACAGACCACCGCTGCTGGCTGAACCAGGTACGGGCTTGTGGGGTGCCTAACTGGGGACACAAGTCAGTTCTGAGTGCCTGGGGGGCAACGGGATAGTGCAAGGCGCGGTTCTGGTCTTTCAGGCGTCCTGACGATGAAAGCAGGGGTCTGGCTGAGTCCTACATTACAGGGTAACGGGGGTTCCCTGGAGAGACTGAAGAGCTATGGGGAAGGTTTGCGGCGTGCTTAGAGCCCGTGTAGTGAGTGAAAGGCGCATGCGGGGTTCTCTGGGTGGACGACCCGCAGAATCTTTGGGATGCATCGGAGCTGTTGGGTGGGTGCGGGACACGGGCCGGTGCCTGTGGGGTGTCAGAATCTTTGTGTGAATGCCGGGCACAGGATCTTAGCGTTGCGAGCCTAGGTTCCGGTGCAATGGTGTGAGTGCTGGCCCGCACCCTGGGAGCATGGTTGCAGAAACCTCGCGAGGGTAAATTCCCCAGGCCGCCTGGTGGACCTCTGAGCGCCATTTCTTTCTTGTCATCACTCTGGAACCGAGTTCTCTTGCCTTCGAAGTACCTTCCTGAGGTCAGGAGTCAACCATGTGCGCCTGCCCCAGCCGCCTTAGAGCACGTGTTGCCTGCAAGGAAACCCCACTACCCACGCCTGGTACGTGGCAGGTCTCCAAGCCCCATTGTTTAGCTCAGAGGTTTTAGGCACAAGACAGCTCTAACAACTTCCCCTTGGAACAAGAGGTGTCTGCAACCAGTCCTTTGTGTGCTTCTAGCATCTCTGTGAGGAATGAGTCCCAGGACTCAGTCCACATTCCCATTGAAAACTCCTGAGGATTCTGGCTAATAGCCTACACATAAACCATACTATTGAAACTCCTTACCCTGTGAAGGCGCCCAGCTCTACCCTGCCTGTCTTGAGTATGCAGGTCAGAACCTACGCAGGCCATTAAGGAGTCCTTCCTTGGCTTCCCACAGTGGAGATAGAACAAATCTTCACAGTTGTTTGCTTGATTTTAAAGAAGTCCCCTCCTGCAAGGGACATTTAAGGACCCCCTCCCCTGAAGCAGCCCAGATGGACTAATCAGAAGAGCAACCCTCCGACTTAGCAGAGACTTAGAAGAGCCTCATGCATCCTCCAGGCCTAGGAGCCAGATATGCCCTCAACAAGGCACTGCCTTTGCACCTGCCCACTCCTGTGTTCCTGGATGGGCCAAGGGAAGGGTTGGTTCTGGACTTCTGAGCCTGCAGCAAAGATATATTCAGCAGTCAGCTTCCACAATGGGAGGCAACAGTGCTCCTCGCCCCGCCCCCACCCCTAGCCCAGCAACATGAGCATTCCAAGATTAAAATGAACCTTTCTGTTTTTAGACAAGATGACGGTGCTGTTTGCTTTGGTTTTGGGGTGCCGTGGAATTTTGTGAGCAGTTGTGTCATGTACTCCCTACTCACTCTTCTCCCATGCAGTTGCTAGGTTGGTCAGAAAGGACTGTGTGGTGCCCCTCCCCCACACCACAACCCTCCTGGGCTGTCAAGGGTGTCTTTCAGGTACCTGGAAGAGGTTGCAAGTTATGGAGCAATGCTGTGTTCGTATGGCATATGGAGTCCAGGTTCAGCTGTGATAGGCCTGCATGTCATGAGCTTCTCTACACTCAGTTTCTTCAATTAATCGGATGCAGGGTCTCTCATCTTGCCTCTCAGAATGGGTTTTGGCTGAGCTGAGCCTTGCTTTGGTAGGAAGAACAGCTTGGGCTCGAATTGCATTATAGCTGGACTCTTGACTGTGTAGGAGTAATGTCACCTATGATAGAGCAGTCTTTGCATAGGTAACAGCCTGGGGCTCTCTTAGCATCCCTTCCTGGAGGTGCTGAGAATCCAGGCTGAAGCCACCTTGCCCCAGGGCACAAGAGACAGTGCCAAACAAGAATTTGGGCCTGTGTTTCCATCAGTGCCAGTGTGGAAGATAGAGTTTGAGTAGAACACTGAACTCTGGGCCACACTATCCTGGATAGCAGCTTCTCTTCTGCCTGGCCTGTGCTGGAAACTGGAGCAGTCAGCTCTGGACCTAGAAGTTCTGAGAAGTGGGCATTTCTATGTTCTCAGCCCCTGCCTGGTTTCATCCAGTGCACTGTAGCCTGAGGGAGGGAAGCAGGGCTGTACCTGCTGCTCTGGAACTGTGGGAGGCAGGTTTGAGCAAAAGTGGCAGCTGGAGGGGGCCACAGGGCCTGGCAGTTCCTGTTTCTGCTTCCTAGCATGAGGGTCACCGGGCTGACTTTGGAAGGAAAGGTTATCATAGAACAGACAAATCACCTTTGTTCAAAGCCTGTTAGCAGCTCCTGGCTAAGATCAGGGAAGAGCCAGAGGATGTCTCAGGAGCTTAGGGTGGGGACTCTATGGCTTTACCGGGAGCCCAGTCCCTAATTCCCAGTCACCAGGCGACTAGGCATTTCTGTTGAATGGATGTTTATGGTGGAAGGCATGAGCTTGGTTGGCAGTGGACTGTAGACTTGGAATTGGTTCCCGAGAGAATAGGAGATGCCCATGTGAGCACCACCCTTCCTTGTCAGTTATGTGCTCTGAGAATAGAAATCCAGAAACTTGGGCTAGTCACTAAGATTTCAGAGGATCTTGCCACGATATAGTCCTGTCCCCTGAACAGATCTGAGTCTGGGCTGGGTGGGTGGGTGGAGCTTTCAGAACCTCAGAGGACAAACAGGAGTCCATTTTTGGGGCCTTGGCCACTAGAGTCATTTGCCCATCTGAGCACAGATCAGGGTAGTACAGCTCTGCCAGTCTGATAATCCTAGATGTTCATGTCACATGGACTCCAGGAGTTCTTTGAATGATCCTCTTCCAGCTGTGGTGGGACACCTGTTGAAGTTCTGAACCCAGATCTTCAGACAAACCACTGGGTAGGGCTATGATGAACTCACTGTGCTGTAAAAGTATAGTTCCCCTAGGTGTAGAGGCCTCAGGAATCTATGAGGATATGTATGGAATAATACGGAGTTTTCTTTTTACTAGTGTTTGATAACTTCTGCTATCCCAGGATACCAAATGACACCAAGTAAAGGTGTTCCTTTTACCTCTGTGGAAGGCAGCTTTCCCATGAGGGCCAATTCCCGGGGATTCCTAAGCCCATACAGGGCACAGAATCCTAGACTTAGCTCCGTACTTGGCCACCACTTAGCCTGGGGGATGCTTTAGTTGGGCAAATGCAGTTGCCATGAACAATTGCCTGATCTTCCCAGCCCTAGCAATGTGTGTTGGAGAATGGCCTTAGCTCTGCTTGCTCTTCCCTCCACCTCTCTGGAAGGGTCAATGTCAAGGGCTGAGCCTCCTGGGTGCCCTGTCCTCCTCAGCTGTTTGTGTAGCTCTGAGGAAGTTTTGAAAAAACAAGGCCAAGCAGAGCAGAGGTCCCAGTCTGTCCAGCTGAGCTGCTGTAGCCTGTGTTTGTTTTCTTCTCCAGCCAGACCCCCTGCCTAGCAGCTAGTTTACATTTGGGTCCTGTCCCAGGCCCTGTAGCTTCCGGGGCCACTTCTTGCCCTAGCATCTTCCCAGACATTCCTGCCTCCTAGACCTCTGGAATTCTACACTGTGGCTCACTCTTCCTCATAGCTCCCAACATGAAACCCCACAAACCCCTGCTTCTTTGGGGGGTCCAGATGTTACCCAGCTTCTGCCTTGTCACAGAAACAGGACTTGAAGGAAGAGATCCTGGGCAGTCTTATAGCTGCACAGTGTGATTCTGAAGTCCCAGTGTGACAGCACACACCGAGGGCCCACAAATCACTTTTCTTTCTTGAATCTCTGTGTTTCATGGGAACTCAGAAGACATCCTAGGGCTCAGTGTAGGGTTCATGGGCTGAGAATCTGGACTTCCACAGTTCTTACATCTAGGAAGTTTTATTTGCCCCTTGCTCAGGGGTTGAAGGGGATTCTAACCTAGTCCAGATCTTCCTGGGCCAGGCTGTAGTTGTCGAGGGCCCATCAATATAGTTCCTCCTCTGCTCTTCTTGGCTGCTCTGAACCACACACACACATATCGCCAACCTGTTTTAGCTTCCTAGCCCCTATATACGACACCCAGCCTCTACTCCAGGAGCAGGCATGCAGATTTATGGCAACTCCCTTTTGACTCATACCAATGCCTTATACAAAAACCCTGAAGCCACATGAACATATGACATAGATAATTTGGAGTCCTGATGAGTGGATGCAGCTCCTGCCTTTCCATTAGGAAATTGGAAGTGCCCACCTATACCAGAGCAGCCTGTGTTCAGGACAGAACCAGGGAGAGAAAAACACACTGAGCAGGTTAGTTCTCTTATGCACCACAAATACTCAGGAGTGCCCTGGGCTATATGGTATGAGGCCAGAGGGTCAGCAACTGGACAGGCCACCAGTGGCTGGACTTGACCTGCCTTTGGGAGGAGTCTGTAGTCATCTGAATGTTACATCCACCTCCTCCTCAGGCTTCAATCTGTTTCACTCTAGGAGTCCTAGAGAGAACCGTGGAGTCCCTCAGGTCAGCTCCTACTCTGTCCCGTAACCCTTCCCAGAGCTTGCTTTGCCTTGCCCGCGGTGGCTGCCAGCTCCTGGCGGACACCTACCTCTCCCACTGCCCCTCCTTTCTATGACAAGTGTCCTTTAGAACTGCATTCCCCTGCTGTGGGGAGAATAGATTTCATATCTGTGTACTCATGGTCACCCCCATTGACCTCCATGTTGTATATTGGTGCATACCTGGTGTCCTCTTCCTCTTCTCTACACCTAGGATACTGCTAGAACAGTAGCTATCAACACTGGCTCAGGCTAACTGCTCCTAAGACCTTAGAGTGAATCTGAGGTGCTCCCAAACCTGAATTTTCAATGTTATTAATTACTTAGTAAAGTAAGATAATCAGTTTATGTGAATTTGATTAATATTTAAACAAGTCTCTTTAAACATTTAAAAAGCTTTGGTTTGCTTGAAGACTCCTGGAAGCTGTGCTGGCCTGATCTGAGGGATTAGGCTCCTGGTAGTTCTTAGGTTGGCAGAGTAAGTTGATGATTTGGGTCTGGGGCCAGCAGCCCCATTCAAGGCTAACACTGGGTCTCAACTGAAAGATTGGGGAGTAGAGGGTTCCTATGGATTCCTTTGCTAACCCCAGACTCTTGGCTTTTCCTTCCAGGTGGAGTGTCATCTTTGGTCACCAGTTCCCATGAGGGCTTGGGCAACATGGTGCCCACTGTCCAGGTGGCAGAGAAGCAGGCATGCGAGGAGCCCAGGCAGGACCATGAACTCAGGTCCTGGAGATGCCTAGTATTCTATCTCTGCTTCTTTGGCTTCATGGCACAGTTGCGGCCCGGGGAGAGCTTCATCACACCCTACCTCCTGCAACGTAACTTCACAATGGAGCAGGCATGTTGTTGTCGGAGGGCAGGGGGTCAGTATTGTGGGCCGGGCTTCTTCCCTGGTGTGATATATGGGCAGCTGAGGCTGTGGAGGATCACGGGAGTCAGAGAGACTGGGTTGGTTGTGAGCTTGGCCCTACCCTGACCTCCCACCCGCTGCAGTGAACACACAAGAGGGGCTTGGCTTTGATTCATTAACCCAGTCAGAGAGTAGTGTGTCACTGGGCTCCATAGAGAGGAAACCTGTCCCTGCTTTGGGACTGGGGAAAAATGCAAATGAAGTTGTGCTGACCCCTACTGCCAGGTGGCTCCTTTGCCATCCTGGTGAGCCAGCCCATGCCCAGTCATGCCCCACCTTGCTTGGCACCTGCCCCCAGCAGAGACTTAGCTGTTTATATAAAGAGATTATTGAAAGCATTTTCTTCTTACTTGGCCAAGGGGACAGAGGGTCCTATTGAAACTCTGCTAATGAGCTTAATTCCAAGCAGACATGGAAGCAGTTTATTTTTTTGAACTTGCACTTCATGCTGTGTAAGATAGGGCTTAGACAAAGAAGGATAAAGGAAAGTCTCTGAGGTCTGGTTCCCCGGTTGCTTGAGGCAGCCTGCAGCTGGCCTGGGGGTGTCAGCTGTTCTTCTTGGCTTGACACCTTCCCTACATACTGACCCAGGTTCTGTTTTGGGTCTTTGATTGTCCATCAGTGAAGTGGGGCTGGACATGGTTAACTGCTGGTCTTTTGGGACAATGGGTCCTTGAGGTGGCTTTCGAGTAAGGCTAGTGGTTGCTAATGCTTGGGCTGAGTTAGCATGAGTAGGACTCAATGGGACCCGAGTCTCAGCCTTTGGGAGCCCAGGAGTGCCCATCCAGCTCCATGAGCTGGAGCTAAAGTGAGGTGTAAGGAGTAGGGTTTTTCCGCTGGCCGCTGGTCTTGATCCGCCGCTGCGCCAGCCCCAAATTATGCACCGAGACTCTGTATTGATATAATGCTGTTGGCCAGGTATTAGTTTCTTATTGGCTAGCTCTGTCTTAATTATTAACCCATTTCTGTTCATCTAATATTTCCACGTGGTCTTCTTACCGGGGAATGGGGCAGGCATCTCATCTCTCCAGTCTCTCCATCTTGACTCCTCACTACTTCCTCTTTCCTCCTTGTCTCCTAGTCCCTCCTCTCTTGCTTTCCTATTGGCCAACAGTGCTTTATTCATTAACCAGTATGAGAAACATATTTAAAGGATGACATCTCCCATCAGTGAGGTCTAAGGTGGCCCTGCTGAAACTTATCCTGACCTAGGAGGAAGTTCCAAGCATGTCCATCTCCCAGGGAGAGGTCAGGTAGACATCTGAGCTTCACTGGGATGGAGGCTTTGCCTGCAGAGCATCCAGGGGGCCTAAGGCACCTGCCTTGGCCTGCCCACGCTGCCAGGTGGGCCCAGACAGCCATGTGGAGTCTGAGGCAATGCCTTCTGATCTTGCCTTGTAGCAGGTAGCTCTCCCATTGTGTTCCCCAGCAGGAGCCCTGCAGGTAAGGGTGGCCTCAATGAAGGTCATAAAGGTCAGATTCTGCAGGCAGCATGCCCAGTTCTGTCTTGTAGGGTGGGTGGAGGGGTGACTTTGTCCTCTTCCTGGCCTTACCTCCTTAGTGTGTCCTGTCTAGTTTTCAGTGTGCTTCCCCCAACCCTTTACCATTCCCTTGCTTTTTCTTTCCCTCCTATCAAGGATTGAAGAAGTCTGTATTGGGGTCTACTGGCCATGGTGCTGTTTTCTGCTCAGGTTTAAGAAGAGTGCAAACCAGAAAGCCTAAGTTAATGTGATCCACTGGCAGTGAATTGTAGCTTCCCCCACAGTTTGCTAGCTCTCTGTGAGTTGTGCCTGGAGTCTGCAGTTTCCTGGACTGCAAGACTGTCTTGGTTCCTAGACTCCCTTCAATCCTGAACACCCGGGTGTGGACATGGAAGGTGTATTTGTGGTTATGAGGGAGACAGGCAAGGTAGACTTGAGTTTGTTCACTTTGCAGTACTCAGTGGGGCAGCCAGTGTCGCTAATAACCTGTGCTTGCCTATCCACAGGTGACCAATGAGATCATTCCGGTGCTGCCCTACTCTCACCTGGCCGTGCTGGTGCCAATCTTCCTGCTCACAGACTACCTGCGATACAAGCCAATCCTGGTCCTGCAATGCCTGAGCTTCATGTGCGTTTGGCTGTTACTGCTGCTGGGCAACTCTGTACTGCACATGCAGCTCATGGAAGTCTTCTACAGCATCACCATGGCTGCGCGCATTGCCTACTCCTCCTACATCTTCTCCCTGGTGCACCCCTCCCGATACCAGCGCATGGCCAGCTATTCAAGGGCTGCAGTACTCCTGGGAGTCTTCACCAGCTCTGTGTTGGGCCAGTTGCTGTGGCCCCTGGAACAAAAATCTATCTTCATGCTCAACTACATCTCCTTGGGCTTTATCATCTTCAGTCTGGGCCTCTCCCTCTTCCTAAAGCGTCCTAAGCACAGCCTCTTTTTCAACCGCAGTGCACTTGTGCACAGAGCCTTGCCCTGCGAGCTGGACCAGATGCACCCGGGCCCTGGCCAACCAGAGCCTGGGAAGCTAGAGCGAGTGCTGCGCAATTGTAGGAACTCCTTCCTGGTGTGCATGCTAAGTGAACTGGTGGAAAATGTACGGCAGCCACAGTTGCGCCTCTGGTGCCTCTGGTGGGTCTTCAACTCTGCAGGCTACTACCTGATCACCTACTACGTACATGTCCTGTGGAGAGCTAACCAAAACCTCAGCTACAATGGTGCCGTAGATGCTGCCTCCACACTGCTGAGTATGCACTGGAGGCCCCTTGCCCTTCCCAGCTGGACTGCAGCAGGCCTGCAGTCCAGCCCTACCCCTTGCCCTGGGCTAGACCTCCAACATAGGCTGTCCTATCCTTTGCCCTGCCCTGCCCTTGTTCCAGAGCCACCCTAACTAAGCCTGACTCCCTACCCATCTCTCCCATTGTTCTACTTGCCCAAGCTCAGCCATGACTGATACCTCCTACCTCCAGGTGCCATCACGTCCTTCTCTGCCGGCTTTGTGAAAATCCGCTGGGCTCTGTGGTCAAAGCTGGTCATTGCAAGTGTTATAGCCCTCCAGGCTGGGCTGGTTTTCTGTATGTACATGGTCTACAACCTCTGGGTACTCTATGTGACCTTCGTCCTTTTCCGTGGGGCCTACCAGTTCCTCGTGCCCATTGCCACGTGAGTAGGATGGTACCGGGAGAGGCTTCTGGAAGGTTCTGTTGGGAAGCATGAGGCAATGTGGGCAGTTATGTGAGAGGTCTGGTCCGTCTAGACACTCTTAGCTGTGTCCACTGCACTGGCTTCCCTGGGCCCCACAACCCCTGTAAGGACAGGGGATCCCCTACCCCGCCTCAGTTCCCTTCCATCTCCGCCACTCCTTCCTGAACCTCTCTACAGTGTTGCTGACCCATAGATCACCTAAAGTTGGCTAGCACCCCACTTCCTCTCTCTGGCTGTCCCTTATCCTCACCTTGGGGACCCTTCCTACATTTTTTTTTTTTTAACCGACATCCCTTCCACTGTTTTTGGCCCCTTTCCTGGTGAGTTTTCTGGTACTGCCCGTGGGGGACCTCTTCAGATTGCACTAGCACGCTTTTCCTGAGACCCTGTCCAGGCTGGGCCTTAGAGAGCACACACTGCTGTGTTTGAGGACACACTCAGCTCATGCCACGTAGGAGTCAGACATCCCTACAGAGCTGGGTGTGGTGGTGCACACCTCTAATCTCAGGATTCAGGAGGCAGAAGCAGGCAAGCCTCTGTGAGTTCCAGACCAGCCAGATACATGGTGAGACCTTGTCTAAAAGAAACCCCAAATATGCTCACATCACCAAACAGATGACACACATACACTACATGTGTAATGGCACTAAATAATCTATGTTTACAGTATCCGTGTATATGGGTTATCATACCACATGATACATATATATCACAGATACACGGATTTTATACACTGTGTACTTAGCATTTGCACTGTACATGGCATATGAACATGTGCTCACACTACTCACACAGGCACTTGCCTTCTTTTGCCTCCCCAACTCTCTAGCTCTTCTGGAAAGACTTTGGCTCCTACCTCTAAGGGTTCCATAACTGCTCCTTTCCCTACTTGGACAGCCTTCGCACATTCTCTGGCTAGACAGCCACTGGCACACTTCTCTGGCACATACTCCTGCCTCCTGAATTGAGAGCACCTTCCTGTTCCCCATTTGCGGGAGTTAGTCTCTCTATAAACATATCCTGAGCCCACTCCTGCCCTGGATCAGCTACTGTTGGTTGGCGGGTGTATGTAGGGAGGGGAGGGGCTAGGACCTGGGGCAGTGCTGTGCACAGGTGGGCTGGGTTGGGTCTGGGGTAGGGGACTTTGTGGCTGTGGATGGGGAGTTTAGCTGTAAGTCTGGTGGTGGGTGGGTTTGTATGACTCCGTTGGTGTATCCCTGAGTAGATGCAGTAGTCTCCCTGGCTTTGTGTTCTTCATTCGTTTGTTTAATTAGATAGGGTCTCACTATGTAGACCTGACTGGCCTGGAATCACGAAGTTACCTGCTTCTGCCTCTTGTGCCAGGGTGAATGACAATGAATGACATTTGTCACCGTGTCCAGTCTGATTCTGTTCTTACCCCTGTGAGTTTGATCACAGTGTTTTTGTTTTGTTTTTCCGGACAGGGTTGCTCTGTGTAGCTCTGGCTGTCATAGAACTCACTCTGTAGACCAGACTGGCTTTGAACTCAGAGATCACCTGCCTCTGCCTCCCGAGTACTGGGATTAAAGGCGTGTGCCACCACCGCCCCGCCACAGTATGTTTTTTACCTCCCAGTTTTCAGATTGCATCATCCTTGTCTAAAGAACTCTGTGCCTTGGTCTTCGGGATCAATACATTCCTTGCCACTGCGCTCAAGACTGCCATCACACTTGTGGTCTCCGACAAACGGGGTCTGGGCCTCAAAGTTGAAAAACAGGTAAGCCCCAACTCTTGTCTTTGGGGGAGGGAACCCCATCATGTGGTCATGGCAGGTTCTCCTGGCATCCACTTTCTGTGGTCCGTTCTCAGGGAACACAGATCCATTGTCACTGGAGTATATAGAATGTGGCCCACGATGGATCAGGAAGTGAGAGACTGTTGGGACAGGCTCGCATTTCCAGGGGCACTTAATGTGGCAAGGCTAGCCACTTTTATCTATCCATGTGCCCATGTGCCCCTGCCCTGCTCCTGTCCTGGTTAATCTCTTAGACTTGGAGCCCCCACATGGTTGGCCTCCAAGGATGACTGAATTATTAGTCATTTTCTGAGGCATCCTTATCAGAACTTGTATTTCCTTACCTGGGCCTGTGTCACTGAACGTGTACTGTCACAACTCCTTGATTTTCATCTCACAAGACCTGATGTCAAGACCTGATGATTGAATGGTAGCTGAAGCGTTCATATCCAGGAGGGAGCTAGGGCAGAGCCCCTTGGTTGGAGTTGGCATCAGATGGCCTTGGCCTACTGACCCCTCTTGGGATGCTTTCAGTTTTCCCACCACAGCCAGCATTTTTCTTGAATCTGAGAAAGCTGACTATTCTGTGATAGGGACACTGTGATAGAGGATCTGCCCAACTACCAAGCCAAAGGTAATCAACACATGAGGAGGGATGGTAACCAAGCTCCTTAGTGGCTGCCCCAGGCTGTGCCTGGCCGTGTTTTGGCAACCTGTGAAAACCGTTGGTCTTCCTGGAGCCCAGGTTTCCCTGGGCTGGAGGCCTGAAGGTTGGTGTATGTCATGGAGAAGTCCCCACTCACTGAGGATTCCTAGTTGGCACAGCCATGTCACTGAAGCTCCATGTTGAGTCTGGCTGGCCACTGAGGACATACAGATGAAGCAGGTGTCTCCACATGCAGGGGCAGACCATCCCACTGGGAAGCTGGCTGGTCAGATCTGAATAGGCTTTTGAAGTGGGGATGCCAGAGTCCTGCCACTTTAAGCTCTGACTGCCTCCAGCCCAGCTGAATCCCTCAGTGCATATCCCCTTAGGCTGATCACAGCCTGGCCCATGGAGTGGTGGATCCAGACTGAGGAGGGTCCATAATTCCTCACTACTACCTGGCTGTTCTGAGTTTGACTCACTTTACTGGGTGGAGGTCAACCGTGGGTTGAGCTAGGAAACAGTTCACTGTCTTGTAAGGGCCTAGGTTCCCCCTGGGGGAGACTGTTTCAGTTCTTAGAAGAGTAGTGGCCCCTAAAGTGGAAGGAGCTCTCCAGAGAAACCCCAGGGGTTACCTCATGTGGCCCCAGCTATTCTAGTGACCTCTAAGGTCACTGTGTTCCCTCTGTCTCCTTCCTTCTCCCTCTATAGCCTGCCTCTCATTCGGCCTTTGGGAGCCAAGTGGGTGGAGCCTGAGGGACTCCTTAGAGACCTGTGCAGCCTCATGCTCCCCTTGGTGCCTATGTCTCCTCCCTCCCCTGCTCTATTCCAGCTATCCTGCAAAGGCACCCTTGCAGATGAGCCTCAGAGGAATGGGGTAGGGGCTCAGTAGGAAGGGGGCTGGCCACAAGAGAATTCCTTCCCTTCTTGCGGACCCTTGGTCAGTCCTACTCACTGGCATAAACTATATTGAGGGGCCCCATGAGGGATGAGGGGCATTCTGGCTTTAGCTCCTGCTTCATCCAGTCAAATTGTGAGATGGGTACTGACTTTTCTCTGGCTAGTTTTCTTTTGACCATTGCATTTTGTTCGGTCAAGAGAGGTGCAGGCTCCTGCTCTGCCCTCTCATACCCTTCTCCCCCGAGTCCAGAGAGGGGATGGGGCAGGAGTCCAGGCAGTGGGAGCAGAGCCAGAGACCACTGAGGACCAGGGTGGAACTTGGGACTGTGGCTGGGAGCCAGCCTGGATGTTTGCTTGGTTTTTAAGTTGGGCTTCATTCCATCCAGTTTATGAACTCATGCAGGGACCCAGGTGCCTTGTGCTCAGTTCTCCTGGCTCAGCATCATAATCAGGGTGCTGACGTTCAGCCAGAACCCAGAACATTTCAACCTCCTGGGGGACCCTTACGGTTATTTCATAGCCATAGCCACGCCCTTATCAGCCTGTGCCCTGGATATGGCTGTTCTCCCCGGTGGTGGTTCCAGGCTCCCGTGCGTGTGTGTGCCCTTGGGCTTCTCCGAGACAAGGGCAGATGGCTGCTATGACTACTGCAGGCTGTCAGTATGCCCAGGGCAGCTGCTGACCTCGGAAGCCCTATGGGCTGTGTTCAGTCCTTGGGTATCACAAGTTCTTTTGTAGGTTTATTTCTCTGGAATGAGGGCCCAGAAGTGGAGACGAGGGTTCCCAGTGGAGGCCATTCCCATCCCACCAGCAGGATATGAGAACCTATTTCCCCAAATCTCCATCAGCTCTGGATGCTATCTTCTCCTATTAGCCATTCTCATGGGTTGTTTTAACTTGTGTTTTTCTCTTGGATTCACTTGTGGAGCCAGAATTTTAGGGTTTTTGTTTTGTTTTTTGTTTTTGTTTGTTTTGTTTTGTATTACTGGAATATTGTATTACTGGAATATTGACACTTTGCTGACCCATGTCATGGTAGTTGCTCTAGAATTTTTCTCAGATGATTTCAGTACCTACTGACTGGCTTTAGTGTCTCCACTGTGTGAGGTCTACAGCCCTGATGTGGCGAGCCGTAGCCGAGGTGAAAGGCCTCTTGGTGTTGTGTGTTGGAGCTAAGGGGTCAAAAGCCTTATCCACACAGCCCCAGCAATGTAGGTTGGTGCCCTTTGGGTAGAGTAGTTCTGGCTCCCTTGGTGGCTCCCTCACTTCACAAGGGCAGGGCATCTTATTTCTGCTCAGTGGCATAAAGTCAATTCCATATGTCCCTCTAATACAGAGGGCAGTGAATACCTCATAACCGCCAGGTGTGTCATGTGTGTGATGGGTCCAGTCACTCTGTGTGTGTGTGTGTGCACGCGCGCGCGTGTGTGCTTATTGCTGACTTCATGAGAACAAAGGTAAGAAATGGGGTCATTACCACCCAATGGGATTCTAGTTTCTTCCCAGGAGTCCTGCCCGGCCTCCCCGATAGGTCCTCCTTTGAGTGTGGTGCGCCTGATGTAGGGTCAGGTGCTTTCAGGGAGATATCTGGGGTTGTATATTCTTGTCCTGGTACCTGCCCTCTAACTGCCTGTGGGTAGAGTGAACAGCCATGCTGGGCTTCTGGCTGCTTCAGTTCCAAGACCCATGTAGCAAAAAGCAATACCCAGCACTTGCCACCCCTCTAATGGAACCTGAGGTCTAGCTGGCTGACACTTCTCTCCACCCACCCCCAGTGAGTGCTGATATCCAGGGGTTTGGCTGACACAGGAAGAATGTGGAAAGGATGTCAATCCTGTCTTCCTGGGAAGCCATTCCTAATGAGCCATTTCTGAGTGTGCCTTAAATGGGATCATGTCTGAAAAGGTTCTAAGGGGCTTCAGGAAACTTGCCTGCCTCCACTGGGATCACTCCAAGTTCTAGAACCTTCATGTACATTTCACAGTAATCAGGTCTTCCCTGGGAGGAAGGTCCTTCAGGAAGGGGCATGACCTGTGTCTGCCTGGCTACTCTTGGTCAGTGCTGTGCAGTGCAGGTCAAGTTATGCTCAGTCTTGACTAAGGATGGGACCTAGGAGAAGCCCTGGATCATTCATTGTCCTGGAGGCCTCCTGGTGACTAAAGGAGCCAGTTCCATGAATTAGAGCCTGGGGACCAATCCCCAAGGACCACACAGATGCCAGACACATGCTGGGTTCTCTGGGGATCTTTGGGGAAGTGATAGGCACCCTTTTTGTGGTCGACTATGCTGTGGGAGACAGAGGACAAGGGACCAAGCACCCTGGTATCTGCCCCTAAGCAAGGCCTATGACTCCTGACCACCTGGAGGCTGAATGATGGGGAAGTTCAGTAGAGTTCTCTGAGTGGGGCATGGGCAGGGGTGGTGGGTACCAAACTTTAGGTCACCCAAACTCTGTCTTTCAGTTCTGCATCTACTCCGTGTACTTCATGGTGCTTTCCATCGTCTGCTTTGTCGGGGCTGTGCTGGATGGCGTGAGGTACTACCGGCGTGGTCGCCACCAGCCCCTGCCCTTGGCCCAGGAGCTGAGTCCCTTGGAGAATTCTGTGCAGGTGCTAAGTGTGCAGGATGGAGGCCTGGAGGGACAACAACCCTCAGCGCCACAGCTGCTCTCAGAGGATGACGTGGAGGACAGCATGGCGGACTTGGGAGTTGAAGCCAAGGCCTGACCCATTTTGACCTTCCTGGCTTCATCCCAGTTCAGTGGGTGGATTCCTGACTCATGCAGCCCCTTCCCATGTGCTCTCCATTCTGAACCAGCCTAGGCCTAATGCCGAAGATGGACTGTACTATCTTGAGTCCCAGGGCCCAAGACATGTGGGGCTCCTTTCAGGAGCCCTTAGAATGTCCACAGGATTCACCTTTGGAGCCACTGTTTTAACTGAGGGACAATAGTTTGTCCCTACTGATAGCCTCTGAGGACCCTAAACCCAGTCTACTTCATGCTTTAGCTGTGGCCAAAGCCTGCTGGGAACACTCAGGGCAGCTTGCCTAGCTGTGTGACCCACATGCCAGGCCACTGTGAGCCTGCATTGCCTGTGGCTTGCCAAGAAAAGCCTGTGTTGGAGTCAGCTGTGTCCACCAGGCTAGCTCCCCCTCAGCCCCAGGAAGCTCAGGACAAATATGTCTGTCCCCAGGGCTAGTGAGGTAGCTCAGACACCAGCCAAGGCACACTGACCCTGCAGGGTGCTTGCTGGTCCTGTGTGGGGTGGATGCCTGTCCCGGCTTCTGGTTATGCTGTCACACTTCCATCATTTTTTTTAAAAAAAAAAAAAAAAGAAAGAAAAACAAAAACAAAATAAAAACCCCCCAAAAAACAAAAAAACAAAACTGACATTAAAATGGAGAACTACAATTGGCCTTTTCTGGAGTCAGGTGGGTACCAGGCACATTTCCGTCTGATGGAGTAGCGGCAGGCCCTTTTCCCCTGCAGACTCCAGCGCAGAGTCCTCCTTTGTTCTGCCCTCCATCCCTGAACAGGTTAGTAATGACCTGATACACATTCAGGCAGCACAGGTGTACCAGCCTTGACTGGAACCGAGGTCCTTCTAGAGGGAAATGCCTTTGGAGGCTTGCACTGGGGAACCATGTTTCCAGGCTCAGCTCCTGAGAGCTATCAGAGCCAGCTGAAAGGTTAAGCCTAGCTATGGTGTGAGCACTTTTCCCGATACTTTACAAACAGACCCGGTATGGTATAAGGGGCTTTCTCATTCCATGCTGGTCTGACCTGGTACATAAGGCTGTAGTTTATTAGCCTCAGCCAAAGCAAGGGCGCATAGCAGACACTAGTGTACACTAGTGTTGACTAGCTCCAGTGCAAGATCTGACCCCTCTAGGGCATGCAGGTAGTATCCCTCCTAGCTGATAGAATTGAGTAACCAGCTCATCAGAGAACAAAATTGCTAGTTGGGGGGAAGGGGGAACTGCGGAGCCAACTGTGTCTCGGGAAGGTCCACTTGGGAAAGGTCATTTTGGGGACCCTGGTCTGAGGAAGAGCCTACAAGCAGGGCTGGCCTGACAGCCAACTCATGATGGTTAGGAGAACACTGGGCCCACTGCATCCACCTGCTAACCACAGCACCCTGAAAGCCCTATTGGGAAGGGCTAGTTCCATCTCTTCTGAACTTGGGGATCTTGTAGGACATAACTGATGGATACAAGGCTTGTCCTTTGCCACAGGCAGAGATGGTGTGTGGTTACCTCTGCTATGCCAGCCCACCCTGCAGCCATTCCTGCAGTGGCACCCAATGCATTGACATGGTGCCTGCTGCCATTCACCCAGAGCCTCTCCCAGCAAGAGCCCTCCCACAACACCTGCCCACCCTGGCCTGCAGCTTTGTCGCCCTCACCTGGCAACCTGTACTGGCTGAGGACAGTCCCCTCTTTTATCCTGGTCCCTTCTGTCGGCCGCCAGCTTCTTCACTTGGCTGGAGGCTTTGGACATGGTCTTCTCTGTCAGCCTCAGCCAGGGCATAGTAGTGAATACAGCAGTGGTAGGGTCTGGGGCCCAGTGAACAGATCCTCTGGAAAAACTTGGAGATTTATTTTTATTTTATCCACTTGAGTGCTTGCTTGCATATATGTGTGTGTACCACATGTGTGCCTGGTGCCTGCACAGGACAGAAATGGGTGTCAGATTGCTGTGAACTAGAGTTATGGATGGTTGGGTATAAGTTACTATGTGGGTGCTGGGAACTGAATGCAGATCCCCTGCAAGACCAGCAAGTACTCTTATTTGCTGAGCCATCTCTCTAGCCTCCTCTACATGATATTGAAGTCACCTTGTATGCACTGCTGGATACCAGGTAGAGGGTACTTACATCTGTACACATCTGTACAATACATTGTATACCTGTGTATATAAGCACACCTGCACATGCCTTTGCATACCTCTGCACAGACATCTCTGTGTAACTAGGCACACTACACATACATCTGTATACCATACATGCACACATTTATGCATGCCATTGTATGCCTACACACCCTCGTGCACAGCCACATACATTTGTATATAATTGTGCATAGTTTCTGTATACCCATCCAAACCTGTGTATAGACACACCTGACCATGTACACCAGTGCATTCATACACACATATACATGTTTGTGTGTGTTCACCTGTTTACACGTGTGCATACAGGTCTGTATCCATGTACACATGACTATACCCATGCTCACCTGTACTCCCTTTGCAGGACTCCAGTGCAGGGACAGAGGCTCCTGGGTCTCATCTTGGATGCTGTGTCCTTTTTGTTACAGGGAAGGCAACTTATAAACCAAGCGTCTGTATGAAAGGTCACTTTTATTTGGTGCCTCTTTGAAATGGCTTCATATCACACAAGAGTCACAGAACTAGCCCCACTGGATTTGTCCCGATCCTTGGGCAGCAGAGCCTGAGACAGGCATAGTGGCTATGATGGGCCACTTGTGCCCTGAGCATACACGTCCCTCCTCCATAGGACGAGTGTTTGTGCAGCCACTGTGAGATTCGTGGACTGCAGGTTGGTGAGCAAGGACAGGGTGCTGTCAGAACTGGGCTCTTGGGCTTGGTTGGGTTTGGTTTCTGCTCTGGATGGGATCTCATGGATCACTAGGGAGACCAGTCTAAGAGACAAGCCCCATGTTACGTCTGGCCCCCAGCAAAAGGAGCACATGGACTAAGTCTGACCACACTCCTGTTCTCTGGTGACAGGGAACAGGATTCAGATCTGGGGGTCACAGTGAGTACTGGCAGGGAGTGCTCTTGCTGGAAAGTAGGGGGAGGCAGAAAGGTGGCTTCCATTAATCAGCATGGGTGGCCCCAGTTACTGCCTGGTGAGCAGGTACCTGCCTATACTACTGGCAGTCACTGGGTGATGAAAGAGGAGACCCAGCTGCTCTGTGCTGTCCCAGGTTCTGTCACCAGCACTCACATGTGACTGCGTTTTGAAGGGTCTGTACACAGAAAGATGCCAGGTCTTAGGCAACAACGCTAGGGCAGCAGCCTCCTACTGAGACCCTGCTATGGCCTGACTTCACCACAGAGCTCCACCAAGCATGCTGGAAGATCTGTGATACAGACTGCCAGTTCAAGTGGGAGAGGAAGGGCAGGAAGTCTATTTTAAATGTTTAAAAAAATATACTCTTTGGCTTCCTTTTATTTCTTGAGGATTACATAAAATGTGAACTATACAGGACCGTATCCCAGCCAGGCCCTGGGCGCTGACCAGATGCTCCCTGCACTGTGTCCGTCCTTCGTGCCACCTCTGCACCATTCTAGCCGGCAGAGGCCCTACTTGGAGAAAGAGGTCATGAAACTATTCTCAATGCACAGGACGATGTAGGTGTTGTGGCAGCTCGCAGTTCTCTGTTCTAGCAGCCTGCCTGACAGCAGGGAGGAGGCCTGACCTATAGCCCCTGTCGCCTCCGTCCGCCATGTTTCACAGTAGCTCTCCATCAACCTGCGCCCGCCGGGGTCTGAGCCATGCCACACGCTCTTCTGAGGCCTGCAAGACACAGAGTGTCAGCAACCTACAGGTCTTCCTGTCCTTCCAGGTCTGCCCCCTGGGGCAGAGAAGGTGGGAGGCCAGCCGCTATATTTGGAGACAGCAGGGCAATGGGACAGGGAAAGGCCTCTGTGACTTAGGTCCACTTCCCAGATGTGCATGTCCTCTTGGTGGAGGAAGAGGGTGATGGCGTACAGCCTGGGCCAGGGAACCTCTGGGCTAGCCTTTCACCCACGGACAAGACCTGGCTTTGGGAACCCTTGCTTGATAAATGCTAGGAATGAGCTCTACTGCCAGGGTTTAGCCACTCAGCTCATGTAGAGGCCAGGAGGACCCTCATGGGTACCTCTTGGGGAAAGCAGGTCAGGGCTTACCTACCACCCAGGGACTTTTGTCTAGTTCCCCAAGCTACTTTTCAGGGAGTAGGGATATTGGAACAGGTGTCTGAGCTGCCAGGTGCAGAGAAAATGGGAATAATACCATTCTGAGGATAGCCCAGCTGTTTGTCAGCGTTTTGGGTGTATCCTGTGACCAAGGGCTATGCTAGGGCGCTATCTTGCAGAATCCATGCCTTTCCGTGGCATTTACATGGCTGAACAGTAGAGTTTATTAAGTAGTCACAGGTGATGAGTGAGTCTGCCATGGCTTTGAGGGTGTTGACAGGCTCGTGTTTGAACACATTGTAACCATCCATTCTCATGTTCTCCTAAGGTTCTGTGATCTTCTGTATAGACTGTGTCAGTCTAGAGACTGAGGTCCTGCCTCATTTAATGCTAGGAGACCTACCAGGCTGGGTGTCTCAGGACATCTCTGCCATCAAAAGAAAAGATGCGGGCCCCAGGCTGCAGTTGACCCTGGGAGCCAGAAAATAAAGCGTCCCAGCTGGGAGATAGCACCTCGTCCTACAGGAGACACAGCAGGGACTTCAGTCACCATCACATCAGGCCAGAACAATGGGCATCAATCAGGGAGATCACATGAGGCCGAGGAACACATTTAGGCAGAGGAACCCTTTCTCCAAAGGCACACCCCATCACAGCGGGTGAGACCCATAGGTGCCCTCCCAAACCTGAGACACTGGGATCCTTAAGTCCACATCACTGGTTCTGAGAAACCACTGTCACAAAACTCCCAGCTCTTTATCACAAAGACCCAGGAACAAAGCCACAAGACAGGCCCTGTGGCAGAGGGACCAGGCTAGGTGGCACATACAGATGGCTCCAGGCCACTTTGACTATATGGTCTAGGAACCACTAGAAACATCCATGAAACAAAAACCAGGGCCTTGGGAGGTGCAGGGGTAAGAGGGGCTTTTGGGGGGGTGCTGGGGGAAACCTTGAGACCCTGGTGTGCTTGGGTACATCTAGGGACATACTTTTGACCTCTCAGGATGGGCTCCACCCACCTTGAGGTTAACGATGGGCACAGTCCCACGGTCAGCACGACGCACAATACTGTAGAGGTCCTGCAGCCTAGAGGATAAGAAGGCACGGAAGGTGCCAGCCAGGCCTACGGCTCGGGCCTGCTGGAAGCACTGGAAATCGGCCCCACGGATGCCACGCATGCCACCTGACAGTGGGCTGTTCAGTGCCACCAGGTGGAGCTGCAGGAAAGTTTATGTGGGATGACATCATTAGCAGTAACGTCAATGACAACCTTCAAGCAGCCCTGTCTGGTCCCTTTCAGCCTAGGATATCAGAGGCTGTCTGAGGCACTGTGATCCCAGTGGTCTCCTAAGAGAGCCCCTAATACTCTTCCTGTGAGCAGAGATAGGGCTGGTTCAGTCTGCTGGGTCTAGAGCAGCTACCCATCCCTGGTTGTCCCAGCCTCCTCTAGGGCAGAGACACAGCATAAGCACAGTCCAGTGCTTTCTCCTCTGTCAAATTAAGAACTAGCAGGGGACAATCACTAAGCCACCAGAGGAAAGGCAAGTCCCTGGTATAAGTGATGAAGCCCACCAATATATCTCTGTTCATAGTATTCCCTCGGGCAGCTCTGGGGGATTCCCTGTCAGGGCTGGGGCTGGATGAACACATGCCCCTCAACCCTGGACACTCACCACTGGCTGGAAGTCATGGTGAGTGTGAGTAGGCGAGCCTGTGGGGTGAGCTGGCGGCAGGTGCACATAGGAGCTGTGGTGGTGTGGGACTCCGGGGTAAGGCTGTGGTGGGTTGGCCAGGATGTCATCTGCCCTCCAGGGCCGAGCTGTGGAATATGAGTACTCCCGCCGAGTATATGGGCTGCCCTCATGAAGCTGCACCAGTGGGGGCTGCAGAGCTGCTACCTCGTTGCCCTGAGAATGGAAGTGCACATGGTGCCTGGAGTATTCCCTTCCCATCTATTCTGTGCTCTTGGGTAGGACAGCGCTGGGCCCAAGGTAGTGAGAAGGAAGAGCTATACCCCGAGCCCTGGGTGCAAGCATGAGCTAGCCGGAGATGCTTGAATGGGTGGCACTGCCCTCTGCTCAGGTCCCCAAGCCTTCCTGAGCTCGGAAGACAGTCTTCACTCATCAGAGCCTCCTTAGGGTCCCCAGCTGCTGCTCAGGCTAAGACTCTACATCATGTTAGTCAATCGTCATGTGTTGTTTGAACTCACCAAGAGGCTAACTCTAGAAGTGGAGTTGCCCCCTCCCCCCATTTGACATCCAAGCATGTCTATCTCAGTGTCCTCCAAGGTCCCCCATCTGGAGAAGTCCCCTCTAACTGTGGTGTGGAAGGAAGAGGACGGCAAAACAGCCCAAGAGTAAAACATGCCCTTGAGGACACCTAGAAGGTGAACCATTTCCAATCAGGTAGCCATTGTTTGTCCCGTGGCATAAATGTGCTTATGGCTGAGCTATGGGAAGCCATAAGCTCAGCCATGGGGAGAAAGTTCAGTGGGGAACTCCAGCTGATACCCGGATTTCCCCACTCAGTTTCTGCTGGATGTTGTGAGTGTCTAGTTCGGTGATGTCACTTGCCCAGTGACATCTTGGTAACTCTATCTGGCTACCTTAAAGCACCCCCACCCCACACCCCAGTCATCAGTTTCTACTAAACATCTCAAGTACCCAGTTTGATAATGCTTTATTTATCTACCGTTAATTATTTTTCACTTCAGTTTGATATATAAGTAATAAATCCTCTCTTTCCAAACCAAAAATAGAGCTATTGCAGACCATTCTTTGCATTGTACAGAACGGTCACCAATCTCCAGCCACACACACACACACACACTGTCCCTGGATTTCAAGGAACAATGCGGCCTTCCTGAGCTCTGTCCCCTTGCTTACTTCTAACAGCTGTACAGAGGGAAACTGCTCCTTACCGTCTTGTGTGGGAGTGGTGTCCGGGCCTCCAGCTGAAAGGCAACAGCGGGGGTTACTGCAGCATGTTTCAGGGCCAGAGCCCCTCATCTGTCACCCTTTTCCCACAGACCCCCCCAAGAGGCCTGCAGAAAGAGGGATGTGACTATACCTCACTTTTTGGCACTATGTGAACAGTGGGCGCTGGTTAGACCTATTGCTAACACCAAAGACTCCCAGGCCAGACAGAAGGTCCGGAAGGTACTGTAGGTGAGGCCCACAGACCCAGAGCCCAAAAGCTGGTACCCAGCAGCCATCATGCATCTTGGGACATCCTACCAGTACCAAAGATGCTCATCACAGTGGTATTTATTATCGTGTGTATGTACGCATAATATACATGTTCCCATGTCTTGGTGTGTGTGTGCCTGTCAGAGGACCACTTTGTAGAACTGGTTCCCTCTTTCCATCTTTTGTGGGTTCTGAAATCAAACTCAGGTTAACAGGTTCATGTGGCACATGTCTGTACCCACTGAGCCATCTGGCCAGCCCCGTAGTGGTGTTTATATAGTACAGTGCTGAGATCCAAAGCATATGTAGCCTCCATTGCACCTTGTGGCCATCATGCCAAGACCAGCCCTGATCCTTCATCCCATTATTCCCCCCATTAGAGGATGGCTTTAGAACCTCAGCTATGAGCCACCTGGGTTCTAGAGTTAGGACCCTACCTCATGTTATGCTGCTGTGAGTGGAATGTGGACTCCCCCTGCCCCTGACCTGGGGTTATGTTGAGCATTTGGTCCCCAGCTGGAAGTGCTGTTTGGGAAGGTTGTGGAACCTTTAGGAGGTGAAGACTCATTGGAGGACAGAAGTCATAGCACCACTTCCTGTCTGCTTCATGCTCCCTGACTACAGAAGCCATGTGACTAGTTGCCTGACATCCCTGCCACTGTGCCTTTGTCACTGCCATGGACCGTGCCTCAAGCCATGAGCCAAAGTAACCTGTCCTCCTTAAGATACTTCTTGTTGGGGATTTAGTCTCAGCAACAATAAAAGTCCCTAATCAACATTCATTTACTGCTAGCCCTGAAAGTGCAGAGTACTGTTCTTTAAAGTTAAAAAAAAAAAAAAAAAAAAATCCTTCCATCCTTCTTGTGGGTGTTGGAGGGAAGGTCCCTGAGAACTCACCAGCACCTTCCGGAAGCCATTTCTAACACGTACGTAGAGTTCTTCCCTCTCAGCCACGAAGATGAGCCAGCCCTCGGGCACCTCGCGCACCTTATCCAGCATGGTCTGGTATGTGGCCCAGATCCTCACCTGCTGGAACCCCAACCCAAGCCCAGAGTGGGACCTACTGCTCAGAGTAACCAGAGCTCCCAGGATTTGAGAGGCCAGAGGATATCCCTGGGCAGGCCACCCTTCTTTGTCAGGCTGTCCCCAAAGAGGAGTGGAGGTTGTAGAAGCGGGTACCTTGGGCACCTTATGGTCCTATAGACACTGATGGTAAGGAGTTCCTAACATGCCACCGCCCCCCCCCCACCAGCCCTTCTGCAGATCCTCAGACCTTGGCCGACTGGACACTTACCCCAGCAGAGGCACCCATGGCTCCTGGGGGACCTGGGGGGCCAGGGGGACCCGGAGGACCAGGAACACTGACAGCTACGAGAGAGATCAAGCTGGAAACTCCTGGCCCCATGGATAGCCATTAGGGACCCAGGCCCACTCCCTATTCTCCCCACACTTACTCTGCCTATGAGGGCCAGGGAAGGAGGGAGGTCCTGGAGGTCCTGGAGGTCCTGGGGGCCCCTGGCGCCCCTCATAGCCAATGCCAGGAGGTCCCTGAGGACCAGGAGGGCCAGGTGGGCCCTGGATGCTTTCTCCCTTTGGACCCTAGGAACAAGGAAATCTTCCATTGTACCCTGCCTGCTCTGCATGTTGTATCTGCTCATAGCCCCAGAGCTTCTGAGCCCAGTGTAGAATTGCCTACCACAGGATTCCTTTTGCTGGGCATGCAGCCCAGGACAAGGCAACAGCCCCAAGGCCTCCCAGTGTCCCTGTTCTCTCAAGTCCTCATGACAGCTGCGATGGTACACCCCTGGGGTCTGCTCACTGCTGCTCAAAGCCAGGGGCAGCAGCAGATGGGCAGCACCAGGAGGGCAGCCACGAGGTACAAATGAGACCATGTGCCCATCCGGCCTCATGCCCAGAGGAGCCAATAATATGGGGTCATAGGCAGCTGAGATTGTGGGGTTTGGTATGTGCCTTTCAGGGTACACAGGCAGGCAGGCTGTGTCCCTTGACTTTGCCCACAATGTGTGGACACCTGCAGGAGGCCCAGGGCTCAGGCTTACCGGAATCCCAGGGTAGCCAGGGGGGCCAGGTGGTCCAGGTACACTTGAGCTGAAGAATCCACCTCCAGCAGCCCCAGGTTCTCCCCTCTCTCCTTTCTGTCCAGTGTCTCCTCGGTCCCCCTTGTCACCCTACAGGTGGGAATGGTTATCTGAGCCAGGTGGCCATGACAGGATGGCACTAACCCCATGAGTCATGGACACCTCCTTGGTCCCCAGTGCTTGCCCTCCCAGATCCAGCTAGGCTCCCATTTCCTGCTGTATCACCCCCTCCCCCCCCCCACACACACACATACCCTCCCTGCCCTGGGACAATAAGTGTCCACAAAGCCATGTCATGGAGCCAGAAGAAAAATGTCTTCGCTGAATGTCACTAGACTTGTCACCAGGGACAAAGGCACCTGCCTAGACATCAGTCACCCCATGAGGACATCCACCTTTCCTCAGCAATCTCACCCACCTTCATTTCTGCTCCCAGGTGGAAGAAATCGATGGGGAACTGCCCTGCAGGGAAGGAAGACAGGTTGAGAGTATGCTGAGAAGACAGCACTGACTACACAGTTTGTGGTCCCTTCCCCTACCCTACCTTTCTCCATCAATTTGGGTAAGGACCACACATTTTCTTAAATTTACTCTTGGTTAGTAGATTTTTTTTGTTTGTTTGTTTTTGTCTTTTGGGTGGTGGTGGGGCGTTCCTGGTGTTTTTGCAGAATACCATTTGTAAATGTTTATGACTGGCCATTTTCCGATGGCTGTCTACCCAGTGGCCTGAAGATGCACTCATCCATTCTGACAGAACCCTACAGATCCTCAAGGGTGGTGTGCACTCAAGCCTTGGTATCTGTGTAAACTGGCTTCTTCTTTCCCTAGATCCCTTGCTTCCAGGATCCTGGTCCTGTCCTCTCGCCCAGGGCCTCACCTCTGGGCCATTCCCTGTTGTCTCAGTTTACAAAGACATGGAAATGTTTAGCATCTTCAAAGAATTAACTTGATCTTTGGATTTTTTTTTCCCTTGATCTCTGTTATCTCATACATAAATAAAACTAACTTCATTTATTTCTGTCCCTAAAATGCCTTCCTGTTTTCATCAAATGTGATGTTTGCTTTCTAGAACTTTGGGCCAGAGATACTGAAACACTCCATTTAAGACTGTAATTTTGTGAACAAAGCGATAAACCCATTTTCTCAGGGATAGCAACCTTAGGTCAATTTTTCCTGTTTCTGTCCTCCTGAAAGACCCTGCCTTATGGAATCACCTGGGATTGGAGGTGACAGTGGCCAAGATCCAGCTCCTGTCCTAGGACCTCTGTAGAACCAGGCTATGCATGGTCTGTGGGAGCCCATGGCCTATGAGCAAGAGGTCCCACTGACCCAGCCCATTGGGGACTTAGAGGACCCAGCTATTCAGGCTTCTGAGAGAAGCTTTGCCAGCATCAGCATCAGCATCCCAGGCTGTCTCAGGGTCTTCTGTTTCTCCTTTGTCATTAAGCTGCCTGGATCAGTGCTGCTGCTGGGGCAGTCCTCCAATGCAGGTGCTCATTCACCATGGCCTTCTACTACATTTCACAAGACTGCCATCCCCCCAAACCTGCAGAACACGCTTCTGCCTGTGACTGGCATGTGGCCAGAAATGATGCAGACAAGCATCGGTGGCTGCTGAGCCCTTCTGTCTCCAGGTTAAATGTTTCCAATGACAGCATATTTTTTCTTACTTAGCAGTTTTCTTCCCTATCCTGAGGTTGTTATTGTAGGCACATGATGAGTTCAGTTTTGCCAGATTGGCTTGGATCAAAATGAGTGCTTTTTAATTCCAGCCATGTTTCCCATGTTTCCTAAGATCTCCTTGCTCACAAACACACACACACACACACACACTTTGCTGGTCATTGCTCCCTTCTCTTGGGACAATTCCCTCCATCCTGGTCCTCTGGCTTGCCCTCTCCCTGTGTCTCTCTGGGCAGCCAGTCCACTCCCATCCCAACAGAAGCACTCATTGTAAAGCTGCTGAAAACCTGGGTTCAAATCCATTTTGTCCACTGCTTTCTATATGTCCCTAATCTGTGTTCCTTCTCCCTCGTCATCTTCATTAGCATCAGGCATTGCTGTGTATTTTTGTGTGTCATTTATCTTTGCATTGGACATCTATCTGCACATTCTTCTGTTTCTGGCTTTCTTTCAAGTTCATCTGCACCCTTGACCTCAGCTAACATCAGAGAGACTGTGCTCCACAGAGTCTGGGCCCATGGCTATGCAGCCTGTACTCTTCCTGCTGTGTTGGCCCGCTGTTACCACCTCCCACTTTCTGGGCACCAATTCTGTCTTTCCAGGAGCCTTGGAAGGGCCTACACATCAGGCTGTTTGCTGCTTAGGCTACCTTCTTGTTCTGTCATACTTTCTGCTGTGGGATTCTGTAGCATGAGCCGCCCTCTGATGTTCTGAAACATACAGGGTCTTCTTCTCGTGCATCTTTTGACTATGAGAAGCACTGCAAATCTTTTTGAGGCTTTGGAAACTCTGGGCCATTTTGCCTTCAAGTGCTGTCTCTCCTGGGTTCTCCAGTGGTGAGCATGTTAGACCATCGCTGTGTGTCCTCACTCTGTGGACCTCCTCCCTTTCTGTGCGCTGGCTCTGAGCTGGCCTGTCCTTGCTCGCCCTTGCTGTCCTGGGGAGATCGCAGCCCCTAGTTCTCCAAGATAATTCTTTTTCCTCATAGCTTTGGGGCACTGTACACTCTAAGTCTTGGTCCCAGCCTGGTAGCCACTTCCCAGAAGACCTGGGTGTGTGGCCTTCTCTCTCCATGTCGGGTAGGGTCTTGGTTCCAGTGTGTGTGTCTTTATTCTGCCCTACACTCTGAGTGCTGTCGGAGGGCAGAATCTGGGGCTTGCAGTGAGCAGGGACCCCCACGAGCACATGAACACTTATGCTCTTGTGGTTTAAGGGAGTGGCCCCAGCTCTCTTCCCTGCTGCCCCTCCCTCCATCTCACGGGAAGCTTCTCATGGTCTTGGTGGAGGCTGGTTAGACCAGCCATGGGCACTGGCAGGCAAACAACTCACTGCTCCCGGGGAAGAGCAGTCCCACTGTTACAGGGACATCCCACTGAGCTGCCCTCCCCCACACACACACACTCCCAGGCCCTGGCCCCCAAGCTGAAAGGCTGATAGGTGTCCCTATATCCAGGTACTTTTTCCCTCCAGAGGGTTGGGCAGCAACCATGGTATAATGGGTGTCTCACACCCCAAGACTGTGGTGCCCCACCCTGGGACTGGCTGTACCCAGTGACCCTCAGCCTGGAGGGTGCAGAGCATGCTCACCTGGAGGCCCAGGTGGGCCCACCTCTCCTTTGTCACCCTTTGGTCCTGAAGGTCCCTGCACACCTGGGGAAAGAAACCCCAAGGCTATCAGGGAAAGCCAGGTCAAGCCCCCTCCCACTAATGTCCCCAGTCTGACTATTGTGTGCACAGGATGTGCCTGGAGCAGAAAGACTACAGATGGGGTGGGGGGTGGACAGTCAGCTCATGAAGAACACAGCTCTATGTTCCTGCTGATACATGGGTGGGGCTGTTCCTGTACCTACTGAGAACTCTTGGGTGGTCATCCCTAGCACCAGAGCCCCTAGTTAGACTTCCTGGGTAGCCATGACATATGGGCGTGATATTAGGAATAGGGTAAAGTTGAGGATTTTACCCTATGACTCAGGAACAAGATACCCAGACTTAGCAGAGTCAAGTCCCACGACTCTATTTCTCCTTATCAGTTGGAGGTTACTATCCCATTGCCATCTTCCTGCTAGAGCCCCAGGCTTCTGTGTGCACTGTGAGCCCCAGAGCCCTCACCTTGCTGTCCTGGTAGTCCAGGTTGGCCAGACTCCACAAACGCCTACAAGAAACAAGCAGAGTTGGGTGAGGGTGCCGAGGGACAATGTTCTAGAAATCAAGACTACCAGTGTCCCCAAAGCAAGAAGTCCCAGGGCCCCTCTCCAGAGCCAAACCAGGACTCTTTCCATAGACGCTCTGAAGAGGGGCAGGGCCTACGTCAAGAGTCCTAGTCACAGTGACCTGCCCTCATAGGTCACCTCCTCCCCTTGCTAAGTCTGGTGAAACTGGGGTGCCCCCTGCACCTGGCTCAAGCACCCGAGTTATTCCAGTTTGAGGCTGTCCCCAAGCCACAGAGTTACTCCTGTGGGGACTCACTGCTTGTCTACTGCCCCCAGGTACAGCCTACCCGACAGACCCATCCCAGAAATACCCAGAGAGGATTCCAGAGCCAACGATGGAAGAGAAGACTTCACAGAGTGAGGCTCTAGCCACTTACATTGCTGTCATAGATGGGCATCCCGGGAGGACCCGGGGGTCCTGGAGGTCCAGGGAGACCTGGTGGTCCCTGTGGAGGAACAGAAATCTCTGGTTAGTCAAGGTCACAGCTAAGCTATCAGTATAGGCTAGGGCAGCCAACATGGGCTGAAATTTATCTGAAAAGCAGTCAGAGAGCTGAATGCATTGCAGCATGATGTAGAAATCAAGACTGCATTGCTGAGTCTGGCCCATGTGTCTGCCAGCTGGGCCTGCCTGTTTCCCGCCCCCGGACCTCTCGGGGAAGTGAAGCCATGTAGGCTGTGAATAACCACAGTAGAAGGGGCTGTGCTTCTCCTGAGATCACTAGCTGCAAACTTGGGGCTTGGTCACTCAAGAAGGCTTTGATTTGAATAAATGAAGTTGTATTTCCACATATTCAAAGAAAGAGACCACCTGGCCCCAGCTCTGACAATCATATACTGCCTTTGATGGGCATGTCCTTCTGTATATATGTTTCTCTTATTAGTTATTGAATAATACACTGTTTGGCCAGTAGAGGCAGGAAGGTAGATGGAGCTAGGAGACAAGAAGAATTCTGGGAAAGGTAGGCAGAGATGGCAAGGGATGCCATATAGAGACCAGGAGGGTAGGATGTGCCAGGCGTCCTCTGTTAAGATAAGGTAAGCCAGGCACTGGTGGTGCATGCCTTTAAATCCCAGTACTCGGGAGGTAGAGGCAGGCAAATCTCTGTGAGTTTGAGGCTAGCCTGGTCTACAGAGCTAGTTCCAGGACAGGCTCCAAAACAATACAAAGAAACCCTGTCTGGAAAAACCAAAAGAAAAAAAAAAAAAGATAAGGTCATATAGAAATACATAAATTAGTAGTTATGGGTTAATAATTAAGACAGAGCTAGCCAACAGAAGCCCTAGCCATCAGCCAACAGTTTAATAGTTAATATAAGTCTCTGTGTGCTTATCTGGGGCAAAAGCAGCAGCAGGACCAGGTGGAAAAGAAACCTCCAGCGACACTGCCTCTGTGAAGGGCCTCTCAAGGACCCAGGTAAGGAATAGCCATGACCAGACAGGCACCCTGCATGGCCCATCTTCCCCTGGAGGATCAGGGGAGGGCTGTGAGTGTCTGTGTACTTGCTGGCACCTCAGATTAAGGGATAACTCCCCACAAGGAATACAGTATTTACCCTGACTTTAAAAATCGTAACTGAGGATGAAATCCAAGAGCCAGTCTTTGCCATTGGGATGGATGTGAGTGACCTATGACTGTGCAGGTCCTGCTCTTCTGGGAGCGCTGCAGTTTGCTCTAGATTTTACATGGTGTTAGTAGGTGTTAACACATGGGGAGGTGGCTGACAAGAAACCAGCAGCAGCAATAGCCATCACGAGTGGGAACTCTCTGAAATACTTATATCTGGATTTCCATGCCCACCTCTGCTCTCGGCAAAGCAGGTGGGAGGCAGGAGTCACAGGCACCCTGGGAGGTGGGGGGGGGGGGAGGTCCCTGAGTCTCTGAGTGGCTGTCCCCAGTGGAAAAAGGCAAGAGATGCCATGAGACAAAATAGTAAGTCCCTAAGGCAGCAGATGTTTTAAAAGTCACAAAGCTGTGTTGGTGGATACAGAGAAGGTATGCTCTAAGGCTCTATGGTTCTCTCTCTGGGTGTAGAAATATGCAGATATGTTTGTGCATGTGTAGTTGTGAGTGTGTCCACATATACATATGAGTATTTATGCAGGTGTGCTGGTCAGGACCAACATGTCTAATTACATCATCAGCCATCTGAAACAGCCTGCTAAATGACCTGAGAGGCCTAGCCATTCCTGTTCCCTGGTGTTCCAAGCCATGCATTCACCATTATAGGACACTTACCCTCATGCTGAAACCAAGGCTGGCATCTCCGGGCTCTCCTTTCTCTCCCTTTAACCCATTTGTTCCAGGACGACCCTGGGCAGAATAGAGTGGAGGGCAGTTGGGCACTGGACAGACTATACATAGCCCCATCCCTCCTAGAGTTAGCTTTCACACTCTTGCCCAGAAGCTAGAGGGGGCAGGAGACTGACTAGTAGGAGCCACATCAGAGCCCCCTTTTTGCTCAGGGCCCTCTATGGGGAGACATATGAGGTGTACTCTCAGCCCAGATATGTATTAAGACATTGGCCACATAGATGATTGCTGTATGCAGGGAAAGGAAAGGAGGGGCAGCTGTCCATTTTCTCCAAGGGCCAGCCCTCTGCAGGCCCCAGGTACTCTCCACCCACTATGTCCAACTTGTAGGCCACCAAGTCCTCACCGGCCGTCCAGGGAAGCCCATTTCACCCTTGTGCCCAGGCCGTCCATAAGGACCCTACAGAGAGAATGATTAGTTAGAGGGTGGGTGAGGCCTCCTACAGAAGGGGGGGGGCATCCCAGGAAAGAACCAGGGCTGCCATCTTTGAAGAACTGCCTGTTGTCATCTGGAGCAACCAACCCCCACCCCATGTTTGCAATGTGGCAGTTATTACAAACCTTGGACCATGAACTCAGTGTAACAGACAAGGGCATTACTCACCGGGGGTCCTCGGAAGCCTGGTTCTCCCTGGACAGAGAATCAGTGTTACATCAGGGAGCTACGACTAGCCCCACCCACTGCCTCCAGGAGTCCTTGCACCCATCTGGATGTGCTAGGCTGGCAACCAAGGCTGCTGGGCATGCCAGGAGGACAGGACACCAGCATTAGGGACCAGGTCTGATTTGAGATAAGATGGATGCACCCTGGGTCTGTGAGGGTGGGATCCAATTTACACAGTGTGTAGCTAAGGTCTTATTCAGCTATAGAGCCTCTGTAAGCAGAGGGTTCTGTGGGCCTGGGGAATCACTAGCTCACTCCCTAACAACACCATAGGCTAGCGAGAAGCCATTCCTCATAGCCACCAAGACTTTCCAAGGCCCTTCCCCTGGTGCCTCCTTGGAAGGCCTGCTGGGGTGGAAGCCCAAAACACAGTCTGAGGAAAAATTCCTTGCCAGCTGAGCACAGGCTTGGGCTCAGGTTCCTGCAGGCTCAGGACATAGGAAGGAGGAGGTCTAGATACCTCAGTTACACTAGGTAGATGGATGCCTACACGTGGGGTGACCCCAGCAGGCCTTGGGGCCCTTCACCTCCCATAGGCAAAAGCCAGTCAGAAGAGTGAGCACACTGGGCCATGGCTTATATCGCTAACCTTCCTATAGGTGAGCTCAGCCAACAGCAGCAAGGGGATAAGGCAAGCCATTGGCAGGTTTGGGGGCCATGAGGACATACTCAGGATGGTTGCAAGAAACAAAGGAGGCTTGGGAACCCTACTCAGGAGAGGTCCTGATCCTGTCTCTCTGTCAGGATGCACCCACCCATGCTGTCCTCACAATGTCAGGGAACCCCAACCTCATCCTCACCTTGGCTCCTTTCTGTGCATGGCCCAGGGCTCTGCCATCAGGGCCAAAGATAGCGCCTGGCTCTCCCTTTTCACCCTGTAATGGCAGGACAGGAAGGATGGGTCAGGGCTCAGCCATAAGGCCTCAGATAACCCCCAAAACAGAAACAGAGAAAGGGGGTCTTGGCCTGCCGTGGGGAGGTTATGACCAGAGCCCTCTGACTTAGGGTTAATAGAGATGGCATGTCCCAGTATCCTCAGGACCCAGCCTGCCACAGAAGCCATCACCTGGATACACAGGAGAGCATACCTTGGCTGGAGCAGGTTTGTGGTTCCTAGGAAAGCAGCAAATGGTACCCCAGCCCCTTACCTTGGGTCCTGGAAGACCCTGCTCGCCTTTGGAACCCAGGTCACCCTTCGGCCCAGCAGGTCCCTACAGGGAAAACCAAATAACAATGAGGTTCCCTGACCCAATGTTCCTTAGTGCCTGTATCCACCATATCCTGTGCCCTGTAGATAGGAAGGGCACCATGCTATACCCTCCAGCCCTCACTGTGTTCCTGATAGTACCATGTCCTCATGGACATGACCACCTGAGCCTACACTATTGTCCTGTGTATACCAAGAGCAGAGCCCATGCTCACGCCCAGTGCCAGAGCACTGTCGGGCAAGCACACAGCTGTGGAGACAAGCTACTTACAGGAAAGCCTGCGTACCCTGGCTTGCCCTGTGGAAAGAAGGGTGCCATGAGTTTTGGGGACACACTGCTCTCACAGGTATTCTGACCCAGCTCCCCCCGGGTCCTCCATGGAAGCAAGATGGCACTTACCTCAGGTCCTGGCGTGCCCACTACTGCTCTCTGTCCCCAGGAAATAAAAATTAGAAGAAAAGAAAAGAAAGCTGCTTTTGAGCTGAAAGTCACCTGGCATCACGTTAGCTATAAGCACACAAAAGCATGTCCAAAGTGGAATTTAGAAAACTGTTTTTGGCAGTGTGCTTGGGTTCTCTCTGCAGGTGCCCAGGTGGAAGGGAGTCCCCCTTCCCAAGAAAGACTGTTCTAGTGTGGAGCAGCCAGGACTGGTGTCACTCTATACCAGTTACACACTTAGCCTGCTGCATATGCTCTGGTTCATTATGTGGAAGCAACCCCACCTACTGGGGGCTTTTGCCATGCTCCACTGTCATACATACAAGTGTCCCCTGAATGAAGATGACCAGCTGTGGCTTTTAGATCTACCCTAGTCCCAGAGTCCTTGCCCCCTGCCTTCCCCCAGGCCTCACAAAAAATGCCATCATTTATTTATTTATTTATTATTTAAAATCAATTCCATGGTGTCTGTCCACTCCTGGAAGCAGGAGACCTGAGCCAGGCACTCTTGCAACCATTCACTACCTTACTGTCAGGACTATACTATTTCCATGTCAGAACTGAGGGTATCTAGACTCCAGAAGATCAAGTAACCATCCAGGATCACAGGTGACAAGTGCAGCTGGGATTTGAGCCCAGCTGTCACCCCAGCCATGCTCTGGCTCTGTCGAGGGCAGCCTCTCTCCCTCCTGTCTCAGCTCCCATGGGCCCCGCATTTGACACGCTTTTAGAAACTTGGGCTTCTTGATGCAGAGAAGTGAGCTTGGGTAGCAGCTTGGCCCCTGGGTTCTGTGGTGGGGCCGTGAGGGACCCATTTATTCTGTGGCTAGGCCACTTGAATATGTTGCTGCAGGCACCACAAAAGGCAGTGGTAGCCTTTACCACCGCAAAGGCCTGGGAGCTTTGGCAAGGAGAGAGCTTCTAGCCAACATGGCCTTTTCTAGAGAAGCCGGGGCTCCTCATGCCATTCTGATGAGGCAGTGAGATCAACTACGGGCAATTCCTAGACTGAGGGATGAGCCCCACCACACTCCACAGTGCACTTACATCTTCATTCGACACATAGAGCACAGGCCCTGGAGGTCCTGGGGGGCCAGGGAGGCCTGGCAGCCCCACTCCATCTTTTCCTGGGTTTCCCTGGAAGACAATGGCAGAGAGGTAACCATTCTGGTTCCTATGGCCAGGGCTCCAAAGCCTACCCATGGCCCAGGAACTAGGTTTGTAGATACTAGTTGAGAGCTACTCCTGCTGACTTAAAGGTCTTTGCTTAACTCTCTGAGGTCAAGTGGGTGGCCAGGTGGTTTGGGCCTGAGGTTGGGGCATGTCCACTATGTACCTATGGTGACTCACCTTCTCTCCCTGGGTCCCTTTCTCTCCTTTTGGTCCCTGCAGAGACAGAGGAAATGGGTCATTATAGACAGAACCAGAGTCCCTTCAGGAACCAGCCTACCTGGGCCTGGCTTCCAATGCAGATGGGGATTCTATGTTTTCTAGAACCTAAAGAATAAATATGGGCACCCAAAACCCTGGCTAGATTTGCATTTGACTCCACAGGGCAGGTATAGCAGGTAGGGAACACAGATGTCCAGGGTACCCTAAGGCCACCTTAGAAGCCAGCTCTTCCTGGGGCTTCTTTTATACTTTTCCTCTCACTCACCGGGGGCCCAGCTGCACCCTCTCTTCCTGGGAGGCCAGGAATGCCCTGGACTCCGTCTGCTCCGACTTCTCCCTGGGACAGACAAAGGGAAGGGTCAAAGTCAGTCCTGCAGCCAGGCAGCAGAGACTCTTGGAGAGGAAGCCACAGCAACTACGGGCATGACCGTAGCATAGGTTTCTGCTGGCTTGGCTACATAGATCTAGCTGTGGGAGGAGGAAGGCGAAGACAATCGAGGATGGTGGCAGAGAAGAGGAGGTGGGTGAGGGAGGAAGCTCATGACCCCCAACTGGTGTGGGTGTATGGGAGTGTGCCATCAGGCAGGGGCTCTGAATCAGGCATGTTAAATTCTAAGTAAACAAAAGTATGAGAAACAATGAAGCGGGAGGAAGAATAAGGCCAGGGCTGCACAGGGGCCTCACTCCATGTCTCCTATTCTTAAGCCGCCTCTGAGATGTGCCTGACACACCCTTGTCTATGAGGCTTGTAGGCCATGTGTTCTGTTCCTAATAGGCCCCTCTCCATCCCCAGTGGACAATAAACCGGACCCTGGGTGAAGTACCTACCTTGGCTCCAGGTGGCCCTTTCACTCCAGGATCCCCCTAAGTGGACAAAGGGCTCTATAAGCCTTGTGGTGTCAGCCGGTCCATCCCCAAACCAAGCTACATGCTCCTCTGTTAATCACCCAGGATGACCTGGTCCTAGCACTTGGACCCTCCCAAGGGTCCTAGAACCCTGGGTGACCTAGAGTCCCACACTGGTTGAAGGTTCAAAATATAGCCTAGTATCATGAGGATTGGATAGTTCTGGATATTGTAGAAGCTGGTAGCAGGTCCCACCATCTCCACTATAAGAAACAAGTCCTTTGGAATGACTTCTTAACATTAAAAAAAAAAAAAGTTCACCTTTAATCCCAGCACCTGGGAGGCAAGAGGCAGGTTGATCTCTGAGTTCAAGGCCAGCCTGTTCTACAGAGCTAGTTGAGCTTCAGGATAGTCAGGACTACACAGAGAAACTGCCTTTTAAAAAAGTCAATAAGGCCCATCTGAAAATCCAGCCCTTTGAAATGTCCATCCAGTGTTTCATAAGTCACAGGAGGAGTAGGACAACAGCAGAGCCCAGTTAGAAAGTCAGGACACCCTGGTGGGGACTATTCTGTTGTTCTCCACCCTTGCCCCGACCCTGGGGAGCCTGACTCAAGCCTGAGGGAAGGTAGGGAGCCATGGGGCTGAGTCTGTGGGCTGTGTCCCCAAGGAGGACATGGGAAGCCGAAAACACAACTCTCAGATCCTGCAGGGGACACCACCCATCTGGTCCCTGAAGCTGAGAACCATTGGGGGTGGAGGGGGTTCTGGGCTCCCGTGCTCGGTGCATGGGAAGGGCTGTGTGGCTATTTTTCCATGAAGCTGCCTGCTGGGTTTTACAAACTTCCCTGCTGAACTCACACGTGTTATCTTGCTAGGCAGGTCTCCAAGGAAGGCCCCCCTCACTCACCTTGAGTCCTGGCAACCCTGGAGGTCCCTGTTGGCATAAAGGAGACAAGTGTTAGTGATCTGGATCTACTTTGTCCCGTGTTGATTAACCCTTTCCAAACATCACGGCTCCAGTGACAACAAAAAGTGTGGGATGAACCTGGCACAATGCAAGCTCTGAGCAAAGCCTTCTATTGTAAAAGCTATCTACAGAGGAGTGCCTTCTGTTGTCCTTACAACCTGAATACATTTGAAATTGCTTTAAAATAAAACTATATGCTGAAAAGAATTACAAAGAATAACAACAACAATAACAAAACTACTGTCATGGGAGCATCTGCTAGTGGTGGCCCCAGACACTAGAGGTCAGTCTGGTGTCCTCCAGGGCCAAGGCTGGGACACACCGCTACTCCTCAGGGAAGGGCAGTACCTTCAGGGAAAAGTGGTACCCTGGGCAAGGCCATAGAGTTTGTGCATGCCTGCGCACAAGTGCTGTGATAGGCCTGTCATTTGGGGACTTGGGGACTTCAGCTCTTTGCTGACACAATCCAAACAACACATAGGTCAACAGACAAACATGGGGGGCTCCCCTATGTGCCCCACTAACTCCAGTCTACTCTGGATCACTCCTCCCAATTGCAGCCAATAAAGGAATCAGATAGGGAAGGGCCTATCTACCTGCCACCCCCAACCCCCAATACCCTGCTCCAACCCACTTTGTGATCAGGAGTGGAGAGTACTAATGGCTCACATCTCTATGCTGCTGGTGGCTCCTTGTCCTATAGGAGGCTGTCCCAAGGACACCACTGACCCAGGACCCTCCTCCAACCCCAGCTCATGGTAGTACCTGCAGCCCATCAGTGCTTCGAGCTGTTGACCAGAAGGGTATCCCAGAGCCTTCCATATCATCCTAAGGGAACATAGAGGCCAGGAAAGTGGAGGTGAGGGAAAGGAAGTGACTGACAATAGAGCTTGGGTCGTATGTGCGTGTGTGTGTGTGTGTGTGTGTGTGCGTGTATGTGTGTGCATGCGTGCGTGTGCATGTGTGTAAGGGTAGCTGTACCTGGGTACATAGGCAGGATTTCAGCTGCTAATGGTGGAGGTGTTGGGGATAACAGTGACAGACACTGGGACATCTGAGCTTTGAGCACACTGAGCCAATCCAGCACAGAGCTAACCCATCCAGTCACTTGGGGATCAGAAGTGGGGCCCAAAAATGGGAATAGGAGAAACTCACATGGTGACAGGAGCTGTGCCCTGCTTAGAGGGTCTGCTCAGGCTGTGAGCTGCCTGGAGGGAAAGCACTTGTGGGGTATAGCCAGGCTTTCTGGGGGCCCACATTGACTTACAAATCCAGCAGCAAATCCTGGTCCTGGTGGCCCTGGTGGCCCTGGTGGTCCTGGGGGTCCAGTTGGCCCAGGGGGTCCAGCCATGCCAGTCTTCCCAGGTACACCGACAGGCCCAAGGTCTCCTTTGCTCCCCTGCACAGACAGAAGGATAAGCTCACCTACCATTCTTGGCTCTGGGCTTCAGCAAAGCTATAGGAAACCCCAACGAACACGCACTTCCCTACAACACTTTTCAAACATTCGAAAACCCAGGGACAGATCACATTCCACAAAGGCATACAGGCAACCCGCTGACTTAAAGCAACCGGGTCAAATGAGAGTCACAGGCGCACAAGCCTGGCATCGTAGCTTTGGCTTCAACACAAGCTTCACAAGGCAGACTGGAACCATGGCCTAGAACCTTGTGTCCCAACTCTGACAGTTGGGGACAGGGATAGCAAGAAACAGATCATGCAGGTGAGGAGGAAGGGTCAGGCCACTAGAAGGTACAGGGACAGAAAGCTTCAGGGTAGGTCTGCAGGGGACCCTGTAGCAACCAAGAGCTTGGGATAACATAGACACGGGTGTTACTGTGGCTTTGTGAGTTTGAAGAACCTGGGGAAACAGAAGTAAGCACATGTATATAGGACATGTCTAGCAACCTGAGGGACCAGATCAAGGAAGCAGACTTAGGCAGGAACTTGGAGCTCAGGAAGGTCTTGGTTCAGAAGGTCCTACTCCAAGTAGGTCAGCCCTGAAGTTGGACCCGGTGGGCCAGCATGCCCTACTGGCAGCCAAGTCACTTCTATGAAGTGAATACTGAGACTACCAATTCTCTCCTGAGCTGTTGAGAGGCATATGTGACAATATAAGAAATGCCCTGAATCCAGCTGAAACACACAGCCTCACTTGGCATGAACCTTCCTATAAAGGGTCTAGCTGAGTTCAAAAGCAGACTGGGCTACATGAGATGCTACCTTTGGGCTCCTTTGGGTATAATGAGAGTATAGACATCTATGTGGGTGTAGACTCTCCAGCTATGGGCTCAATTTTAGGTGGGTACCTAGTACAGCTGTCCATTCTTTAACCTCAGTAAAAATACTTCATTTATTTACCCTTGATGATTCTGTGCGTGCGTGCGTGCACGTATGGACAGAGGCACATGAGTGCAGATACCAGTGCTTTGTGCAGATATACATGTATGGTATAGAGAATCAAGTGTGTGCACATTTACACACTCAGCCCACATCAGCCCATCCCCTTTTTGTCTCCTTCTAACATGTTTATCTACCCTCTGATGCCCATGTTGCTCTCTTCTCTCTCCCCACTGGATTTTCTTATTAGCCCAGCTCTCTCTTTGAATACCAGCCAGGATACCTATCAGAACACAGGAGGGCCAGCATGGCATCCCCTGTACAACAATGGGTGAGGATTCTTGGAGTGCCACTGGGAATCATGATGAATTGGGAAGCTCTGATCCTGAAGCATTTGACTGAGGTACCCCAGGAGTTCCCAGGGAGTCTTCCCTTGTACCTGCCTACTAGGAGCACATTTCTAAACCCAACACCTCTGGTTTCATTGCATTAGCAGACAGAACTGAGTGTGCATACGCACACACACACACGCACGCACACACACACACTATGTATTCACTGGCTGGGGTGACCCCTACACCCTGCCTGAGTACTTTTATTAAGCAGGTAGCCCCCAGCTCTGCCAAAATGAAAACTGGCTCATACCTTGGGTCCTGGGATGCCCACCTCGCCCTATGGGAGAAAAAGGACAGGATTACACTAAATTCAGACATGTGTAGCAATCAGAGAAAAGCACAGTAACAGTCCTGTGGTAACTACCTGCCCTTGAAGGGTCCTGTCTTCTGTTAATGCTGACTCTAGTGTTCTCTGGGCCTGTTCCTGCTCCCTCCCTTGTTTCTTGGGGATGCTAACCCCTGGGAAACTCAGCCAGGAAGAGAGCCAGGAAAGCCTAAGGCCAGAGCACCCAAACCCAACATTCCCATGAACACCTCTCAAAACACCTCCTGAGCAGGGGAAACCTTTAGGCTTAGCTGAAAACAGAAACAGGCTCTGGGCAAAGTTCATTTAAAATGGAACCCCAGCTGCTCAGCATCAATAATGGGGCCTTCCATTATTGATGGAAGCAGCTCTCCAGATGGCCTCCCTCACAACTGGTCTCTACCCCCACCCCCACCTCTATCCCTGCCCTTGCAGCATGAGACCACAGCATCATGCTCAGCAGTGGCTGGCCTGCCTCTGCAGACTTCTATCAATCCAATGACACTGGAACCTGAAATAACCCTTTCAGACCAAATGAAACACCGACTCCTAAGCGCTAGTCCACCTGTAGTGGTAAGAAGCACATAGACCCTGACTTGAACCTGAGCCCTGCTCGCCCCAGCGCTAAGACTCTCGCTAAGCTGAGAATGCAGGCTATGCCCACAGCCTCACCCGATGGCACGCACTCTCCACAGCCCCCAAGCATGCAGTGTTCATCACCCACTGCCTACAGGTGTGTGCTGAGTTACAGCCACCCATAGGAGCTGACTTACAGCATTGCCTTTCTGGCCAGCCACTCCTGGTGGGCCCTCTTTGCCTGGAGGACCTTGAGGTCCCTAGGGGACAGAAGAACAAAGAGATGGACTGGACAGGATCCATGGTGAGCAGACAATAGCTGGCACCCAGACTTCCTAGGAGCCAGGGTAAAAACAGTCCCCTGACAAGGTGCATGCAAGGCTAAGAAGGCACAGTGTAGAAACCACTGGGTGGGCTCTTTTCCCGAGCTGCCAAATGTTCTGGGACACTCATGTGTCCATTCAGTGCAGAGTGGTTACATGTGTGTCCAGAGTCAACTAGTGCATCAGCGCCCCTAGAACCAGAGGGTAGCCTACCCCACCCCCATCCTGAGAGTGACCCAAAATGGGAAAAGCCTCCACGTTGAGGCATGGAGAAGGAAGCATGGCTGTTCTGAGGTACAGCCAGCAAAAGACCTCACATGATGCTCCCCTACCTCATGCTCCCCTACCCCATTCCTAGTCAAGATGGTGCTCTGGGGCAGCGGAGGCAGCTGAACTTACCGGGGGACCAGGGAATCCAGGAGGCCCTTCCTTTCCAGGCACACCAGGAAGGCCTGCAGGTCCTGGAGCATAGGAGCTGTTGACCCCAAAGCGCCCTGGCTCACCAGGCAGTCCTGGGACACCAGGGGGTCCTGGGGGGCCAGGGAAGCCTCGTGGGCCCTGGACATGAGAGATACAGTCCATCATAGAATACATAGCCATGCTGGGCAATGACCACATCCCCAGCTAGTCCTGTCCCACCCCCAAGGGTCCCCATTGATGTCTCAGACACCATGCTCCACATGTGCCCATGACAGTGGGAGTGGGGTGGAGCCACTCACTCTGAGGCTCTCCAGATCTCCGCTGAAACCGGACCCTTCCATGTCAATGAAGGTCTGGGGAGGGGGGGGAGGGCAAGAGAAGCCACCACACCACATAGATTCATCATCCCCAACACCAGATGGCACCACCCGGCTGTCCCCTAACCACCCAAAGATGCCTGAGATGGGAGGTGGGACATCATGCTTTGCCCCACAGCCTGGCCACCATCCCAAGCTTGCAGTAGGAACTCGTGCTCTTGGGCCAACACTATCAGAGACCGGTTCCTAGGGTTGAGTACCGGGACCTGATGTGGAGGAGGCCAAGGATGGAACTTACCAGCTTGTCCTGTCTGAAGGAGGGTCCTGGTGGCCCTGGTGGCCCTGGAGGTCCTCGTGCTCCGACACCAGGATCTCCCTGGGACATAAGACAATCTGTCATGCTTAGGGTAGGACACATGGTCCCCACTTTCAGTCAGGAGCTAGGACAGGAAAAGGGCCACGTCCTGGTCTGTACACACTTACCTTCTCACCCTTGGGGCCCATGTCTCCTGGGGTCCCTGGAAAGCCTTGAGGCCCAGTGTCACCCTGGAAGACAAGGGTAGGGGGTAGGTGGAGGGAAGCACCTCTCTTCCTTCACACAATGAGTTTTGAGCCCCAAATGTGTCTCATTCCAGAGAGGGAGCAGATGGGAGCCTAGCCCTTCAGGAGAGGCCATGACACCAAGGGACTCCAGAGAGAAGGCCTGGATTTAAGAGTGGCACCACTGGCTGTGGTTGGCACTGACTAGGAGACAGCATGTGCTCTCTTCAGAGGCATCAAGTGTGAGAACCACAGATCTCTGCAGAGTGGTAAGTCCACTGCGTGCATGTGGGACACACTGGGCTCAGGGAAACCTCCACTTATGACTGAGTTTGGGCTGTGTGCAGTTCCAGTGCGGCTCTGTCAGGGTACAAAGAGCTCTGTATGGCCACTCTGGCAGCATGGAGGGTCCCATCTCAGCTCCGCAGCCCCTTCTTGCACTTTGACTCCCCTACTCCTCATTTGTGCATCCCCACCTCGCCCCCTCTGGAAGCAACACTTTGTGGCTTTGGTGTCGCATTGTGCCTCCCTTAGCCACCTGTAGTTAGAGTAAAGCTGCCTCATTACAGTGTCCTCTCTGGGAAACCATCGCCCCGTGTTGTACGCAGATGACCTACAGACCCAATGGAAACACGTTATAGCGTCTGGTGCAGAGAGAAAGCCAACTTACCGGCCTCCCGTCTTCACCAGGGTCACCCTGTAACATGCAAGAGAAGACACTATGAATGGAAACAGCCCTGCCCTGCCACCGCTACACAAGACTAGACACAGAAACACACCAGCTGTCTGCTGCTGACAGTATGGCGGTTAACGTTAATGTAACCTTACTGTGCTTGAGAGACCAAAAGGCAAAAAAAATGCCTCTAACATCCAAACCTGGCACCCCACTCTCCTTCCCCCCACCTCTGATGTTAGAGTATTTTGTTGTTCTGTTTTTTTTAGGCAACCCTGGCTATCTGTGAACTGGCTCTGTAGATAAGGCTGGCCTCAAACCCACAGAGATCCTCCTGCCTCTGCATCCCGAATGCTGGGATTAAAGGCATGCACCACCACCATCCCTGGGCTGAAGACTATTCTTAAATGGACTGATCTTGTAAAATTTGCTATTCCAGTAAGACAGGTCATAAGACCAACTGACATTTCTGCTTTTGTAATCAAACTTGCTCACTCTGCTCAATGATTACAACAGCTGCAAGACATACATGTTAAAATTAGACCCTGCCCACACACACACACAGAATACATGTAATCTTGTGGGATTTGACTTTATAAGCCTTGGACTAATATGACTAGATGCTGCATCTTGGGAGCATTCTCTGTTGCAGTCCTGCTGCTGTGGGTATCCAGCACCACTATCTAATAAAGCCTCCTTTTATTAAAACTTATTCATGGTCATGGTGAATGTGTGGGTGATCTCAGACCCGTGACAGACAGCACATCTGCAATAGTGCTTAGATCCAGGGTTGGCTTGGGCATGCTTGACCTCCATGCTCCAACCACCTTCCAGCTCCAATGCGCAGCAGAAGGCTGGTAGAAATCCCAGTATCCAAGGATGTTGCTGCTCTGATCCCAGCCAACTCTCCCATCAGGCCCAATCAGAGACCTCAGCTCCAGCCCAGATCACAAGGGGAGGCCAGCACTCACCGGTTCACCATCCCTTCCTGGAGCGCCATCCTTCCCTGGTGGCCCCTGAGGTCCTGGGGGTCCTTGTGCTCCAGGGACAGGCTGTGCACTGGGGCTCTGTACCACTGGGCCTGCAGGACCTTGGGGACCAATTGGGCCAGGTAGGCCCGGAGCACCTGGCTCCCCCTTTTGTCCTTTCAGACCTCCCTAGGGACAAAGAGGATATAGGCTGCCACACCTACATACAAATTCACCTCACTCTGCTGTGATGTTCTCCAGGGACTGAGACTCCAGGGAAGGACTCCAGGGGGTAGGGAGAGATGCAGGGTAGGCGTTGCACTACGCAGAGCACAGGGCAGCAGAGAGGGTGTGGGCTGAGGGCTTCTGTAAAGTCCCAGTGAGAAGCATGCAAGCCGCTGAGGGGTCCCAGGTGTCCTGGGACAAGGTCTGGGGAGGTGGCCTCACCTTTATCAAATCACCTCCGTGGTTCTGGACACTCTCATCCCATTTACCTCTTGAATCTGTGCCAGCTGGGAAAAGGTAGAGACAACTCAGTCAAGCTCCGGGCAGCCCAAGGCTCTAGGCTTTGCTGCCCAAGCTTTGCTTCACAACCCATCAAGCGCCCTGGAATCAAGGCTATGGGAATGACCCTTTGCCGTTCCACATAGCAAAATCCCTGAGGACAGGGGCCATGGGAATGGTGGGAATGGCCACCTAGCATGGACAACAGGAGAAAAGAACCAAAATCACCGTAGACAGGCATCTAAAGCAAGATCAATGACAATGGAAACTTTCTAGAATATTCCTGGCTTTGTTTTAACACCTCATCATCAAAACCCCTTCTTACCACTTTCTCCTCTCCCAACATGCAATTTGAAAAGCAGAAAACCAACAGTAATTCTGAGAGGTGACCCCAGATGTTCACCTAGACCCCACCATGCACATTGTGTCTCTGACACACAAAGGCCCGTGTGACACACATATGCACACACACACACATGCCACTTCCTCCTCTGAAGAGCTGTCTGGACATCTGTGGCATTCAGGACCTCTGTCCTGAATACCGTGGTGTTTTCACAAGTCGGCCACATTCAGGGAACCCTAAAGGAGTGGTGACAGGATAAATGGCCCACCCCCAATTCTACCCTGGCTTCTCCTCTGGGAACAGTAACCATAGTGATGCCAACCCAGGATCTCTGCTGTGTTGGCTTCATGTCTTTCATATGCACCCAACATACAAGTGCTGCAGGAGCCAAAGTTTAGCCCAATGAGCCCGCTGCCTGGTTTGGGACAGCCTTGGAGCTAAGAATGGTTCTTACAGATGTGTACAAACAAGAAACACTTAAAGAGACAGAAAATGGCCCAGAAACCTGGGTGACCCAAGCCACTCTACCAACTGTCATTCCTTCCTATGCCTCCCAGCATCTTGGGTATCTGCTATGGCTTAGGAGCCTAACCTCACTGGAACCACATGATAGGTCCTTCCTAATAGGTCCTATTAATAAGACACTTGTGGGGTGACACCTGGAGGTGGATCCTAACAACATCTCACTAGCAACCGACAGTATAAAATTTATCATGTCAACAGAGGGCATTAACCCTTGAGCACTCTTTAGAGTGCTGGGGCACAGAGCCCCCATCTTGGGTTAGAATTGATGCTGACATAGCTATTCCTGGCTGAGCTTAGTGTCCTGCAGGATTAAGGACCTGAAGTCACAAATGAGGATTGAACAAACTAGTGAACTCCCCCACCATGAGCTACACAAACGGCATGCTCACCTCCTTACTAATTCTCAGGGTTCTAGGGAATGCCATTCATGCTAATGGTCTTTGCCCTCACCCTGATCAGGAAGACCCAGCTGCCCCCATCCACCACAGTCAAACTGCCCCATTGCAGGAGCCAACTGCAGTGTTTGACCACAAGAGGGCAGCACAAGCTCTCCCTGCAGCAGCAAGTTATTCCTAGAATTTCAGGTTCCGCAAACCTAAAAGCACTTCCTCAGGGGGCATTTAAAACTATACAAACATTGCTAAGAAAAATCAAACAAGACCTAAACAAAAGGCAAGGATGAGTCTCAAGAGTCATTACTTTTCCCCATGAAAACTCCAGCAGGCTTTTGCTTCTCTAGGGATGTGTGGATGGCAACAACCACAGTCCACAATTCAGGTGAACACGCAAAAACCCTGAGACTGCAGTACAAATAGCAAATGAGGCTACCTGATGAGAGCAAGGTAAAAGCACAGTGTGCAGCCAAGACAGGGAGGGAGAACCATGGCTCAGGCAGATGAGCAAAGACTCATAGTTCAGAGAGACAGACCGGCGAGGGTACAGAAAGATGGGCGAGGAGATCTACAGCACAGAATAGAGCCCGGAAACAGACTCAGGTGTGGGAGACTGCCTTCCCACATCTCAGGGCCAGCTCAGCAAAGGAAAGGGGTATTTAACAGTGACAAAACAGGCGAGGAAATCGTTTTTTAAAGAGTTAAAGCAGGTCTTTTGCTCACCTTGAACAGAGTCTCAGATGACACTAGAAGTGATAGTTTCAGCATTTAAAAAGTTAGGTTTTTCTAAAGATGCTGTTGTAAGAAAATGAGGCTGGACGTTGAGGTTTACACCTGTAATCCTAGCACTTGAGAAGCAAAGATAGGAGGGTCACAAGTTCAAGACCAGCTTGGCATGCTCTCTCTCTCTCTCACACACACACACACACACACACACACACACACACACGAACGTGGAGATATTTCTATCTATACCTATAGATATAGATGCTATATTTATACATAATATATAGATAGCTGTACAGATATAATAAGTATATATCCACATCTTCAGAGGGTAGGGTAGGAGGAGATGAAAAAAGAAAGGGAGCCAAGCAATGGTGGTGTATGCCTTTAAAGGGAGAGAGAGGGAGGGAGGTAGAGAGAGAGAGAATATGAAGAAGACAATGGTTGTGTTTAAATCCAGAATATATAAAGAGTCTCAAAATTCAACAATAAGAAACTATACAGCCCATTAACGTTTGGCATAAAGTCTAGACATATACTTAGACATAAGCCCATGAAAAGATGCTCATTACTATGGCAACACAAATGAGGGCAGGAGGCAGACCACCTCACATCCATAGCATAGTCATGCCTAATGACCTCACTGAGGTGAGGTACAGAGACTCCCACACAATGGGGTAGATGGTAAACAGACAAACCACTTGCAAGTGGTTCTGCAGTAGCTGAGGCAAAAGACCCAGAACAACTTCCTCTGAAACCACCTCAGGCTGGACATAGTGCATACACCTGTTGCTAGGTCCTCAGGCTGGACGTAGTATACACACCCATCCCTTGTGGGTTAACAAAGGAAGGCAGCCGTGGCTGGTGACCAGTAGAAATCGAGACTCTGTATGTCACAGCTGTGAGTACTTGAGTCCTGTCGGCATCAGGAGGAGCCATAGCCTGTTCTCCAAGACAGTGTCTTCCATGGGAGACATATTCAACCCTATATGCTGATCTATGGCACAGCCTAGACTAAGGATGTATTTTCCCCTATAGCACTTGGGCCAATTCACACTCCCCTAGCAAACCTGATGGCCCTCAAATAGGAGATGGTACATCTGGAAAGATTCCTACACATGACAGACAAAGATAATACAGGGCAAGGGCCTGATGGGAAAATGAAGGACATGTCACAACTGCCTAGTTCAGAATTCTGGAGACCAGCCAGGAGCCTGCCTGAACAGGACCATCATAGAAGGCAAAAGGGCTGCAGATGTAGCTCTCATTCAACACAACATACATGCAACACACATACACACACACACTCACACGCATATACACCATGTACACACATACATACACATTCACACACACACACACACACACACACACACACACACACACACACCACATCTAGAAAAGTTTTACCTCCTATAGAATCTACCACGGTTTCTTCTTCTGTTTCTTCTGTTCTAGAATCTTCTGTGGTGCTGCCTCCAGCCAGGGGCGGGGAGGTGACAGGGGGTGGCTGGGGGAGCCTGGGTGCTAGAGATATATCCTGCAAGAGAAGAGTAGGAAACCTGACTGTGTTATTCAGCAGGGCAACTATCCCATGCATGTATAAGCTGGCAGTTCTGTTTGGCTTTGGGGTTTATGGTTTATGAAATGGAATGCTTTACAGGGTTTTGAGGAAGATAAGGAAAACTGTCACTCTAGCTATAATGAATTCCCAGGACTTTCTGCAGAGCTATTTGCTGAAGGTTTTCATCAGCCTGGAGTTTTAGGTCATAAACCTCAATAGTCCCTAAGAGAAAACTTAACATTGCCAGAGGACCTGGGGGAAAAAAAAACCTTCCCAGGCCTAGTACAGATGCTTCCTATGGCTACAGAACATCAGAGATGCCGAAAGTGGGATCCTCTGATGTCACAGTAGGGCATATGGAGCAGATGAGTTCCAGCCCAAGCACTGGCCCAACATTGACTTCCTTCTATTGTTCTAATAGAGGCATCTGGTCTACCCTGTAGATCTTCGACCTTGTGCCCAGCTTCAAATGCTCATGGCACCCAGCAGCATGACCTATATTCCTGATGACTTCCTATCAATGACAGTATAGTCCGGGTACATAGGCTGTGGGGAGCACCTTGGCTAAGGTAGTGCTGGGGCTTGAACAAGGGTTTTTCAAGCTGCTATCACACCAAACATCACAGGCCAGGGTGGGGATGTGACACCAGAGGTCCACAGTTTTAGCCCTCTGAAGGGAAGCTTCCACATGGACCCTCAGATTGGCCAAGACCTTCAGGGAACCCCTCACAGTTTCCTGTGACAGCAGGGCTAAGCTCCTAACTAGAGTGAGCAGGTCACAAGGAAGGACGAGGTATGAGTGCTCAAGCTAGTTATTAGCAATCTCTGGTCTATAGACAAGGCAGTACTTGTGTGGCATGGCACTCATAGCCACATCTGTATTTCCAGCATCTGCCACATCCAGGGTACCCTGTGTAGAAGCAGAAGTTTGCAAATCTGTGAGGAGAAGGGCTTGTAGCCATCAAGGGACACAGAATGTAGTCCCAGATGGCTGCATCTCCTGTCCCTAAAACCTGCCTGCCCCTACCCCAGTGCATGTCAAAGAGTCCTCCACACCTCTTCTAGGAGTGCTGGCCATCCTTGAGCTGCTTAGCATCCTGCAGTCTTCTCAGCCCTGACACCCAAGATCCACCTTAAAGACAGATTCTGCAAACTAGACTCTGGGGACACAGTGGGGTCAGGGGGCGGGTCACTCAAACATCTTTTGCATACCTGGAGTCCCTATGGGTTCTTGGGACTAGAAAAGCATGCAATGTGGCTTTCCAGAAACTTCCCCACAATGCCACTTGTCTTGACCTCATGTTAGACACACAAACCAGCTAACAGCATCAACAAAATGCAGAGTCACCTGTGATGAGAAAGCTTCTTGCTCAAGGCAAGGGACAGTGGAGCCCACCTCAGACTGGTGCCTCCCTGTTGGGCATGACCTGCATGACAGAGGGACTGCTGGGATGTCATACACACTTGCACATGCCACGCACAGGCCACATCTGCCCCTCCCCTGTGGTGGGATGGCCTCACCACATACAGACACTCACCTCCTCCCTGGGTGGCTTGCTGCTTTCTTCAAAGCCACTTCCAAAATCTCCAGATGCCTGCAGGGTGTGGGAGAAGAGAAGTCAGGTCCCATGACAGGGCAGCAACTGGACAGCAAATAAGATTTCTGCTGGGTTGAAATCAGGCAGACTTGTAGATCAGGCAAGCCAGGATGGCTCACCCTCCAGAAGATTGTAGATCAGGCCTGTGCATTCCTGTCCTATGACATAGCTGCCCTGTCCTAGGGTGTCATCCCTAGAGGACAGGCAAAGCAGGTGGGGAAGGTGCCCTAAGCAGCTCCAGCCCAGGCTGACATGGAAGAAACATACGTGGAGTACAGGCACAGATAATCATGTTCCCACCCCTCATCTGCCTACTGGCTGCCTTCATGCTCTCCCTTTCCTCCAGCCTCCAGGAGCTTGGGGAAACCAGGAGCCAGTCTTTCCTCCTACCAAGGTAGATGATTTAACACAAGCCCAGAGGAGAAATACTACCTGGGCCCATAGAGCCCATAGTGACATCTCGACGATGTCAAGATGGCCCCGGTGGAATGGGCATACAGATACCCAGCACAGGCAGGATGTGGGCATGCTCACTAGTGGCATCCTCAGGGGTGAATGTTAGCCATCCACTAGAGACTGGTACTAGATAGAAGCCAATTACATTCCTGATTTCTCTTCTGGAAAAACTAATAGCTGTTGTGGAATATTATTTTAAGGTGTGTTACATTTGTTTACACCATGGAACACTTGTTTTGATGATGCCAAGATACGTTGCATTCTTTGGTGTCGCATTTGTTTAACTCTGTGAAACTGTGATTCTCTGCTTTGTCTAAAACACCTGATGGTCCAATGAAGAGCTGAACGGTCAATGGTGAGGCAGGAGAAAGGATCAGCGGGGCTGGCAGACAGAGAGAATAAATAGAAGTCTGGGAGGAAGGGAAAAAGGAGCAAGAGAACAAGGAGAGGATCCTAGGGACCAGCCACCCTTAGAGTAAGAGTGAAAGTAAGATTACAGAAGAAAAGGAAAAAGCCCAGAGACCATAGGTATATGGGATAATTTAAGAAAATCTGGCCAGGGCCAAACCAGGGCCAGGCATTTATAAGTAACAATAAGCCTCAGTTTTGATTTATTTATGAGCTGGGTGGTGGGCCCCCTAAAGGGCCAAGGGGTAAAAATACAATGACAACATCTTGGCATTCCAACATGGGGATAGAATAAAAGAAAATCCAACAACAAACACCTTTGAAGTAAAATATAAAAACAGGAGTGTAAGGGAGACATTTTCCATTTCTCAAAGCCAAACACACCCAGGCTCTGCCCAAGGAGAATTGGTGACTGGGGTGTGGTCATGTGCTATCTCCATTGGGACACTCCCACCCCCAATCCTGTCCTCTGGTAACAAACGGATTGTTTTCTTCGGGTGTCGTGATATTGTGCTCATACACATACAAACAACAGGGGCACAAGGAGACACAGCACACAGAGACACAGTGCATACAGACCACACTACATGTACCCCATATACACCAAAGATGCCCAGGACACAGACTACACACAAAGAGACACAGACACCACACGGCTCACATACCACACATACAATAAATGCACTGCACAAAGAGACAACACACAGCATATAGATAACAGCAGACCAAAAAAAAAAAAAAAAAAGGTACATACACAGTAAGCAGAGAAAACCCCAGAGATCACACATACCATACAACAGAAACACACGGCACATCAAGAGAGACACATAATCACACAACAGATAGACATATCTCCCCCACAAGCACACATCATACATACATACATACATAGCGTATAAACATATATATAACCAAGCACATATGCACTTTCCACGGTGTGACTACCATGTCATACTGTGTTGCTGTGGGTTGGTCTCTGACATTTACATTTTCCAGTTTGTTTGAAGAGGAAAGGTAAAGCAGGGGTGGTGTCTGAACACATAGGTTCCTGGTACCCTAATGGCATCTTTTGGCTTTTCCTAGCATATAGCTTATCACTTTGGGACCCTTGCTCACAGTGGGGAGACTCCCCGCACTCACCCTATCTTCATCATCATCATCTTCATCCAGGCAGAGCACAGGGCTCACCCGGGGATTCTGTCGTACCTTCAGCTCTGAGATCTTCCCCTAGACGGAGGCAGAAAGAAGGTCATTAGTTTGAAATTGAAATATTGCTCAATGGAGCAGGTGTTTGGCCACTGGGTTGCCAGTTGGTGGCACTGTTTGGGAAGGCCTTGGAGTCTGGAGGAGGAGGAGGCTCACTGAATTAGGTTTCTGCCTTGAGATTTCACAGGCCCACTCCCTGCTTCCTGGCTGCAATGTGGCCAGCCACTTCATATCTCCACAGCCATGCTCTCCCTCACAGTTACACACTATCTCATCTCAAACTACAAAGCCAAAATAAACACTTGTCTTCCTTTCTTAGGTGGTTTCTGGTCAGATACATGGTTGCAAAAAAAAAAAAAAAAAAAAAAAAAAAAAAAACGGAGAGAAAGTAAGACCCTGGGGCTCTAGAGGCAGGTGCTCTGGCAAAGCCTCTGACTCATGCTGGCCCCCAGCCTAGTCTAATGCTACCAAGGAATCTCCCCTTTGTCAACAGGACTAAGAAGCAATGGCTTTCAAGTTGTGGCAGTTTCTGAGGCAAGCCAAGGGAGGCCATGAGGATCAGATGTGTCAGACAACAAGCATGACCCACACCTCATGCTTCCTGTCTAGATCACTGGTTCTTATGCAGGCTCCAAGGTGTCTGTCTGAGGGCACCCTGAACGCTTCTGTCATGCTAATTTCAGTTTACTATTCCAAAGTGACTTTCTAACAACTCCAGTCACAGTCAGGTCTGAGTGGATGGAGGTGGGCAGATTTCTATGTGGCCTGATGAGAAATGGCTCCCTCTGCTTGTGTAAACAATATCAACACTAAGGGAAAGGTGTGACTGCCCTAACAAAACTTGACATAGAGGCACTGAGATCTGAATTTCATACCAAATTCCACACATCACAAAGTAACTTGTTGATTATCCCAGCCATTTGAAAATGCAAACATCATTCTAGCCTGGGAGCCTTGCGGGAGCAGATGACGAAGGCCCAAGCTGTGTTGCTGTGTTGACGGGTCTGGCGTCCTATTTATTCCACACCTCCCTGTCCCCAACAAGAGACACGTGACAACTGACAGTTCTACCTCCATCCCCAGCTGGGTCCCACTGGAGATGCACACTTCCTGCCAGCCAGCTTTCCCAGGTCAACACAGCATCTGGGGACAAAATGGACATCTCAAGAAGGCCACTCCGAGTGGCTGCAGCAGGTGCCATGGTGACAGATGAGAGCCCCCAACTGGGTTCAAATGCTAGAAAACTGCTTCCTAAGGACAATGCTGGTGCCGGGGGCATTTCCGATGGTCTCAGCAACAGACACATTGCATTTCCTCACAGCTGGGCTCACTGCTGTGGACTGTCACACACTCAGCCGACAAGGCTGTTGGGTGCCTGCATCCGGAAATGGCCTCCAGAGGGCGGAAAAGGCTGTGTTTGCACTGAGTTCAGCTTTGTGTCCTGCCCCTGTGACCCTTCCACACACACCCCCGCCCCCTGGAGTTTTCCCAACAGCTAATGGGGACGATGTCAGTTGTACAAAAGCCACAAGACCCACTGCAAATATTTAATGGACTTGGACCCAAAAGTTATGCAATCCGGACCTTGGAAACTGGGGGACTATGAACATTTATAGATAAGTGCCACGTGAAACTCTTCCTGCCACGCCAACCCACAGTGCTTTAAACATGGGGAAGTGACTAAGAGGGACCAGCACCAGCAGGAGGCACACATACTGTCTTTGCTCGCCTGGACCTGCAGGGTGCCAGCTAGCCGAGGTCAGAGGCTGATGCCATGCTGTGGGGCCACCTGCTAGCTTGCTCTCATGTACCGTATCCCGATTTCCCGGTGGCCTTCGGGGTGGCCTCTGCCCCACCCTTTTTCCTTCAGCCCATCTTCCCCTCCCTCCCTCCTCTCCCTCCCATAGCCAGCCTAGTTCCTGCTGTGACCCAGCCATGCTGCCTGCTCTGTTCGCTAATGTCTCACATCCCTGATGCGCTCATACTCATCCCCCCCTCTCACTACAGATGGTTGTGAGTCACCATGTGGTTGCTGGGAATTGAACTTGGGACCTCTGGAAGAGCAGCCAGTTTTATTAACCTCTGAGCCATCTCTCCAGCACCTCCTAATTTTCTCACATACTTTTAATGCTTATTGTTGTCTTTCCCTAATGCATACCTTAAAACTTAAAAATTTTACTTTAATATTCATGTGTAACTTTTCCACAAGGAATAATAACGATTCCTAACAACAGTCTTTAAACTTTCCGGAAAGAAGATGGGGCCCCACATCATCATTTCCACTTGACTCAACCTGATGCATCGGAACTACAAACATCACCCTAAAACCGGTTTGAGACTGTTTTGCTCGAGACAACTCATGACTAGCTAGCTGTAATGGTGCACCTTTTTATTACACCCTGGCCAGTTTCAAATAGAACTACAGTCAAGAATTTTCTGCCACACAGTGACTAACTACATATGTCACAGCCAGTTCTGTTGAGAAATTTGGTTGCTAAAAATTTTCTTCCTACAGGATCCATTGGAGCAATCATCGTCCCATTTCAGCAGGAAGTAATCTTAATATGACTACGCCCCCTTTCCCTACCCTTGGAAATTTGGGATAATAGTCATCGTCTTTGGGTTGGTTTTAGTTATTTGGGATTGGGTGATGCTTACACTCGGGTTTATCTTTTAGACAGGAATAGGGAATGGTGGGTAAAGGTATGGTTTAGATGGGATATAAGTAGATTAGCCTATTTCCTTGAGAATTTGAGTATGAATGAGATAGTATTTTACAGCTTACATTGTTATGTATTCCTATGTGGTAAGATATGTAAAATTAAGTTTATATTTTGTTATATTGTGTTAAATGTTTCCACTTATAATATTTATGCACATTATTTTTTACCATATTCTATGTATGTATACTTTTCTTGTGTTCAAGACATTTTGTATATTGATACAATTTGGGATATTTATCTTGCTGCCCTTTATAGTTCTACCTCTTGTCTTGACACTTATACTCTACCTCTATTTTAGGGATTTACATGTAGGTATATGTAAATAGTTATATTGTTTAAGTATTTGTTCCTGCTTTACTCAGGAAAGTTTTAATCAGGCTTTTAGCTAAGTTCCCGAGTATTACAGATTATCTTCACTCACATTTCCTGTACCTATGATGAGATTAGTCAGATATAGATGCATAATCTTCAATCCTTCATAGACATGCAGAACATGGCATTTAAATGTTTTAATATTAGTACTCCATTGACATGAGACACTGTTGCTCCTGACAGCACCGTGCATTTTCCCGAAAATATGTTGGACACTGTTGTTGCTCCTGCTGGAGTTCAATCTCGCCTCAGCTAATGGCCTGTTGGGCATAGAATTGCCCCCACCTTGACCACTGATTTGGACATGCAGTCCTATGTGCTTGCAGGAGACAAATATAGAAGACTGCTTGACCTTGCCAAGTCAGGGTAAGACAGCCATTCTATTTCCCTGCTGTTGTTGTGGTCTGTCAAGTTCTCTTGGCCTTAGCCAAATCTGGGTGTACCAACGTCGCTGTGAGACCTAGGGTGACTGTTCAGGTGGCTTGCTGTTTCTGTCCTTGCTGCACCGTTTTGGAAGTTGTCCATCCACATTTCCTGTCTACTCTAGTATTGTTATTTTCCTTCTCAGGTCTTGATGAGGTTGAAGATTAAACTATCACAACTATTATTCTCTCTTCCTAGTTAGATATATTAGGTACTAGACTTACGTTTTCCAGCTTAGGACAACTCTATTGTAAACTCCATTATGCCCTCACCCTAGGACTAGATATGTAGGTCATTTTGTTCTCGATTTTCCTTTTCTTAGAGCACACTTGTTATTCACTGTTTTGTATATAGTTTTGTATTAAGCCTAAATCTTTTCTTTAGACTAAAAGGGGAATTGTAGTGAGGTAGTCCTTCTGTAGCACTGACCACGCCCTTTGGGGGGTGGAGCTATGGGCGGAGGTGACCTGAGAAAGGAGGTCGGAGGGGGCCAGGAAGGCGCTCTCTTTCTGGCGTGACTCGGACAGGAGAGGATCGGGTTGAATTTCCTGGTGTTCATCTGTCTAGGTTGTAAGTTATTTCTCCCTGAATAAACATCTATTCGGCCTATTTGTTTATCCTGATCCTTATTTACCGCAATACCCCCCACACACACACACACACTGCTTAATGGGCCTTTGGCCTCAGGTCTCTGCTCCTGTGACCAGGTCCCAACAGACCACTCCACTGTCAGCCTCCTTTGGTCTCTTGACATGCCCAGAAAGGAAACGGCATACATGCTGTGGCAATGTACCCACCACAGGCTACTCTCGTTTCAGATGCACAGGAGAGGTGTCTGCAGAGCTTTGTACACGAGAACACTGAGCAGGAGCTGGTGGGACAGACTGCTGAGAAGCACCCTGACAGATGGACTGAGAGAAGGACCATGAGTACTCTATTCTCCTTGATCTGGAACAGGGAAACTGCTGTGGTCATATCCCGACCCCTGCTGCCTGCCCTACCCCTCCTATGGGGAGGCCAGTTCTGATGTCACCCATTGATGGCAGGGGCAACTTCCCAGCAACAGCACACATTCATAGTGGAGCCACAGCTGCACCCTGAGGAGAATTCACAGCCTCAAGTCTAGGTGAAGGAAATGAACCTTGAGATGCTCACAGCTAAATGAGAACACTGGGAAAACTGTGCTTAGCTGGGGTGGGAGGGTCTCTCCTGGGGTCAGAGGGCACCAGGGTGGGGGATGGGCAGTGCTGGAGTTGAAAAAGACCACAAAAGGAACCTTAAGCCAAGAAGATGGACACACACACACACACACACATACACACACACACACACACACACACACACACACACACACACACACACAGAGCTGGTCTGGTCTGGGCCCAGTGGGGAGTACTGGCCCAGCATGTGGGAGGCTCTGGATTGAATCCCTAGCATCCCACACTGGAAAAGAAAGACAAAAGAAAACCAAGAGAATGAGAAAAAGTGGAGGCACCTCTGGCAGGAAAAATAGTCAAAAGGGATTACAATTACAGGACACACAAAATAAAGAACAGGACACCCACACTGAAATACAGTCGGGAGCCATGCTTTAGGAAAACTGATAACCAGAAATGACACTCATGACAAAACTCAAAGGGACAGGCAGGAAGACCGATCACAGCACTGTGAGGACCTGTCACCCAGCAAGGACCAGGGCTGGGTGGCTGAAGGCACAGCCGGGCTCTCCCTGGATGCAGGTGGGACAGAGCATCCTCCCTGAAGATGACTCAGAGGAAGCCTAGCTCTCCATCCCTCTGGCTCCCAGGGCTCCGGCTCCCTGACTCCTAGCACAGGTCCCTGAATGTTCTCTGCCTCCCTCCTCCAACCACCAAAGAGTTTTCATATCAAAGGTTGTGAGTTCTTTTTTCCTCCAGATCCAAATTGGTCAAATAAACACTTTAAATGCCTGAACATTGTATTTTTAAGGGAAAAGACCAATGGCAGGCTGGAAAATAAAATCTGTGCATACACAGCCAATGATAAGTTTCTTTAAATATAAAGAGCTGTATAAATCAATAAGAAATGGCTGACTTCCCCCACCAAAGCAGAAAGCAAAAAGAAAAAGGAAAGAAAAAAAGGGAAAAGTCTACAGACTTTTACAAACACGCCAAGAAATGAAAATGAAAACACCCAGACACAGCTTGTCTGCATGTCTAATACGCAAACCTCTTACACAGCCCGGCAAGGCCCAGCCAGTGATGAGGCCACCCACTCAGGGTGGCTGTGTCCCCCCATCAGCACCACTGGGTTTGGTCGTGTCCTCTGCCATCTCATGCTCACTATTCCTCACCCAGCTCTGCCAGGGAAGCAGATGTGCAGAACCTCTAAGGTCTGCCATCCCCTTGGAAAATGATGGGGACACACAGCACCAATGTCCCACTCTGGAAACTGTGACATTCAACTTTCTGCTAATCGCATTTGAAGATCAGAAGGAAAACACACAGGGGCCCAGTTTGGTGCCAAAGTCCAGGCAGCTCTTGAACCCGTGGGTTAAAAGTTCCTGCCAGAGGTAGAAGGTCAGCTTTCAGGGCTGTGGGACACAGGACTTAGGACAACTTACAACAGGAGGCCCTTGTCTGGGTCATAATTGAGTGTCTGTCCCCTGGGGACATGTCCTTCCTTGCACACACAGGGACCCCTGTCTGGGTTGGGCAGGGGCGTCCAGCTGCTAATGGCTGGAGTACTGAATTCAGGAGCCATGACTCAGTGCCAGCTGAGCTCCCACCCACCCCTACCCCCACCCCACCGCCCTGCACTCATTCCCAAGAGGCTGGGATCCCAATTGGAATCTCAGGATGAGTGCCCTCCTATGAGAAAGGAGGGCCCAGAAGGGAGGGACTTTCCTAAGGGACATGGGAGAGAGCCACAGGTCTGTCACTGTCACCCAAGGAGTCCAGAGCAAGTCTTTATTAAAATAATAAACAGCCCAGAATGGCTGTTGTGTGAAGTCTCAGTCCCCTTTGCCAGCAGGGTGCTCCCTCGATTGTATGAGCAGCCAAAGAAAGACCCTAAGAGTGGCTGGCTTTAAATGCATAATTTTTGTTTTGAGATAGGATCTCATATGGGCCTGGAACCCTAGCTCCTTCTCCTTCCAATTCCCAGGTGGGATTACAAGTCTTCTCCACAAGATGCCTAAGCACTTATTTTTCAGATGGAGTAGCTGAGCCTGGACTAAGCCCCACACTCTTCCAGTCTAAGCTTGCTGTCTCCAGCTCACCATTAACCCCAGCTCATTCCTGAAAAGAGGGTCTGGATCAACTCAGGATGGCAGCCTGGGAAGAGATGGCCTCCAGCATTCATCCTGTGGACCCTGGGCTCTCAGAGAGCTCACAAAATCCCAGTGTGATGCTCCCGGGGTATCAAAGGACAAGAGTTGGGGGAGTAGATGCCACTCCAGCCACAGGAGGGGAAGTGTGGGCTACTGACCCAGCTGTAGCATCAGTTGGAGAAAGCTGCTTTCCCTGGTCCCCATGGCCCCTCCTCCCCTGAATCAGCACACAGTGGGACAGCACAGTTACCTGAAACTTGTCAGGGTCAGCTGCTCCAGCTTGGCCCACAAAGAGGCTAGAGCCACGCTCCAGCTCCAGACCCTGTGGGGACCGCGCAAACTGCACTCTCTGGAACTCTTCGCAGTCTATGTAGAGAGCCACAGAGCTTCCTTCCACGCTGAGTGCAAAATGTGTCCACTGGCCAACAAATGCAGGTAGGTGGAAACTGGCACCTGTCTGTGTCTGGCTGGCACTGGGCTCCGTGTAGAGTAATGAGATGTTTTGGTGTCCACCCTGCACCCCCGAAAGCTTCACACCCAGCAACACCACCTCCTGTGCAGCATCTGTGATGGCAAACAGCACCCCTGCAGCCTCTGTGGCCGGCTGAATATGAAACAGGAGGGAAAAGTCACGGAAGTAGAGTCTAGGGAAGTGGTACTGGGCCATCTGGCCACTGCTGGAGTCCTGTTCAAACATGTAGGCTGGCCCGACGTGAGGGTCATCGATTTGTGAGATCTGCCGGGGCAGAGGGTCCCCGAGGAGCTGTGGCAGCCCCACCTCCTCAGCAACATTCTCTGCAAAGAGAAGGACATCTGGTGAGGTGGACGCACAGGAACAGACAAGGTCACAATTACATCCTAGGAGACACAGGCCATGAAATCACCCCTTATACAGGTCTATGTGGCCCTCTCTTTGGGTCTCTCCATGCCTCCATGGCCTCACAGGCCAAAGTAAATATCCCCCACTCCAACTCTGCAGGAGGAATGCAGACATGGAATAGACCTTTCTATGGCAAAGAGAGAGGAGGTGACATGTGGTACTCCTGCCTGGAACTCCGCCTGCTCTGGGAGCCAGCTAGAGACAAACCTAGGAAACTCCAATGGCCAGCCTCCAAAGTTGGATTCCCCAGGTGCCATCTGGCCATTATGGTTTCTAAATTAACATCAACCTCTCTCTGGTTCTCCACAAGCCTGTTCCTCGGGATATGTTACAGGGCAGGAAACAGGACAGTTTCCTGTAGCCATTTCTGCTTCCCGAAGTTTGTCGGCACACTATGGTGCAGAGGGCCATGTGATGTCTCGAAGCTTCGGCCCTGCACAGATTCTCCCAGATTCACAGCTCTTCTGAAGTGCTCCAGAGTAGACAGCAACCCATTTCATTCACTTATTTCACTCCTGGCATCATCTTGAGTTGGCCACAGCTGTATGAGCCCTTCCTGTCATTAGGCAAGGGCCACCAAAGCCACTCAATACACTCAAGCAGTGTAGCATTACAAAGCCTGGAAGGAGGCACTCGGGCAAGGAGAATGTTCACGGTCAGGAGCTTTTCCAGGAAGGGACACATGGAGGCAAGCATACTTGGTAAGATGCAAGTGTAAAGACACCATGCCTCAGGTCAGGTAGGGCTAGAATGACAAGGTCCCTGCAAAGTAGGAGATGGGAAATGCTGAACCCTCAACTTCACAGGACAAGCTGAGTCACCAAGTCCCTTGAAACCAGAAGAAAAGCTGCACATCCTCGGGGATAAAGAACAGCTTTGTGTGCCATGTAGACAGCCTGGTCCCTGTAAGTCTCACCCTGTCACATGCTCCTTAATCCCTGCGTACCAATCAGACATGGTGCTGGCCAGGTGCAGAGTGAACACGGCTTGGTGGCAATACGGCATGCAAGAACTGAGTATTTTGCTGAGAGCAGAGAAGGCTGATGGGCTAGCCTTGGACAGTCAGTGATCCATCACAATCAGCAGTTACAGTTTCCCCTTCTCACCAGAAATGCTGGCACCCAGAGTCCACACTGAAGTTCTGAAGCTAAGTCATGCATGCTGCCTGGGTGCTGGAGACGAGGCCACTCTGCCCCTCCTTCTGGACAGCACAAATCCCTGGTGCCCCACTACCCCAGCATGCAAGACATTACAGCTGCTGGCTTCCTAGGCTGGAAGGCACCAGATTGTTCCACGATGACCCCTGGGGCCTTAGAGACCTACACCCAGCTCTTCCCAAGTCCTTCCATTTCCTTTCTATGAAAATCTTTTTGGCTCTGCTGGGAGCAGATGCCAAATACCAGGGCAATAAGATCACTGGCTCTGTTCTTTGGTTACCGCATTGTGATGGGGGAAGGGCCTGGCTGCCTAGGCCAGGAAGCTCATTCGCCTGGAAGGAGCAAGGTCTGTGCCATGCTCTGAGATTGCAGAGGCCTTCTAGACGACGGTGGCCCCTCTGCAAGTTGAGACTCCTCTAGTCACCCACCTGACCTCAGATCCAGGAATGTGGGGTTGGGGAGGTCCTACCTGGTTAACGCCACCTCCCCTGAAGTAGCAGGCACAGTTCTGCAAAGTCTATGTTTAAACACACACACCCTTTAGCCACATGGAGAACCAACTGTAGCCAGCATCCCCCCCAACAAGCACAGCCATGGCCAGGCTCTGGAGGGACCAGTAGGGAGAATGCCTGGTACTCCCACCTGATTGGACCAGATGGAGTCCATGTCAGCCTCCTTCCCTGGACTGCAGCCAGTCCATTTCCTAGGCTGAAGAGCAACTTTCCAGATACTTGACTTTCCTGCACCTTCACTATCAACCTCACCAGCAGGGACCGGTTCAAGAACACTGAAGACAGACAGTATAGCCTTTTGGCAAGGGCTAGACTTCGGCAAGGGCTCAGTAATGGCAAATATCATGAGAAAAAGACCCAGGCAGGATGGATCGCCAGCACTATGACATGAGGGCTCTTCTAAGCAGGTGACAGTCCCTCCCTCAACAAGGCTCCTGGCCAGCCCAGTCTGCCCACCTTGGAGAATGGCCTCCAACTAAGCCAGTACACCATGGACTGCTCAGGGGTACTTAACTCCTCCAATGTAATGGAACAGACCTGTCATCCCATCGTGCTTCTGACAACCAGAGCTCCACTTCTTGATAGCTGGCTTTCCCAGGGATGAGGCCTGGAGACTGATTGTGCATCCTTCCCTGGGCTGGCCATTGGCTTTCCCCACACACGCTCTGGGAGCTGCTGTGTACAGGACTCAGGCCATGGCAGCCTCTCACTGCTGCCTGGCCTCCCAAACCTGTAGAACTCAAGCTGAGGCAGCCCTGCCCCACAGAGCCCAGGCCTGGGTTCTGGATAAACATCTGGTGCTCCTATCAGGAAGATGTCACCGTGAGGGGACTTCTAGTCCAGCACCAGAGGAGAACATGCCTGAGATGCCAAGATGCCAACCAAGGAACAGCTATGGAAGTTTCTGGAGAAACTGGCTCCTCAACCAAATGTTTCCCTTGAGTTAGAAGGAATCTTGGCAGCCCCTTTCTGCTTCTAACTGCTTCTAACAAATGCAGCAGCTGTGTGGGGACATGGGAGTGGGGGGTGGATAGCAATATCTGTGCTGGACCCACCCTGGGTACCCAATGGTCACCTAGCAGATAGCTGCAGAATCCAGGGGTACAAGTCCAACAAGCACCCCAGCATAAGAGTGTCTAAACTGCTGTGGGGGGAAAGGCTCAAGAGAGTTATTTGAACTGAGCAACTGTCATGGAGAGTTTTATTATATCCACCTAGGCCTGGCTCCTTTTCTGAACTACAACAGTCAGTATGGCCCAATAGTGGCCATAGTGGATATCTTTTGGTGAGGAGGAGGTGCTCAGATGTGATGCTGGGTCTTGAGGATAAGGCAGTGTCTGGGCAGTGTTATTCCAGGGACCCAGATCAAGACCTACTTAAGGAGCTGGGCCAGTGTTTAGTATACACAGGCAGACAATCCAGTGCACCAGAGGGTAAGCAGGCCATTAAGACAAGAAGCAGGAGTCACCTAAAGGTGCTCAGTGGGCAGAGTTATCCCAGGGTGTTAAAGAAAATGCCAGAAGCATGCAGCCACTGGAAAGGAGGGCAGGGCAGCTCCTTAGAAACTATGTCACACAGAGACAGAGGCCACTCATGCAAAATGAGAATCAATGTCCCTGTTCCTGTGTGCATCCATAGACATGCACACAATCCTCAGCAAACAGCACAACAGTCTCCAAAGATGCCCCTTACAATGAATGCTACTTTACCCCCAAATAATGGTTCCCAAATATGTCCCTAGCAATGGACGCCACTCTACCCCACAAAGAACCATTACAGTGGGACTTGGATTGCATACTTTGAGATGGGAATGAACTAGGTCTATCCACAAATTCATGAATGTCGTTACTCCGGGCTAGAGGCTCATGCCCAGGTAGGGAGGCTGCTGACTACAGAAGCCTCTTGTCTTCTGGAACCCAGGCTAGTCATTGATGGGTGATCTGAGCTAATGGTGTCTTAAGATTTGCTTTTTTAAGAAAAATGCTTCAAAGTGAGTTCCTGGAAGACTCTGGGAAATGGCAGAGCAGAGAGAACCAGGAATGGCCTCTTTGGAGCAGACAAGTATGATGCTAAACCCATCAGTTATACAATGCTGGGAATCTAGCATCCATGAAAGGCCTGCTCCCCACTCCCTTCCCTGATGCCTGTAGAGGAATCAGAACTCATGGCTGTGAACTTCCTTCCTCAGAGAGCTGTAAGGGACTTTCTCTCCTGCTTTGCGGGCCTGATTCCCTTTCAGAATCTGCCAGTCTGTCCATGGCATTTACAAGTCTTCTAAAAGACTCTTTACCCCTAACAATCTGTCTCAGTGTCCCCTTAAGCCCTTCATACCAGAACTACAGTATGAAATCAAAGGACAGGCAGGGATTAGAAATCACACGGATACATGAAGAATCACAGATCCCCCTAAAGGACAATGCACTGTCAATTATTAAAGCTGTGTTTCCATAAGAACACCAGGCTATGCCACGTTTTGCTTTCCACCAAACTTAAACATATGCAAGAGATTATTATGTTTTTGTTTTGGGATGCTCGAGTTTAAAAAAACGTCATCAAGGAGCCAAGAGTGGCAGCATATGCCTTTAATCCCAGCACTTGGGAGACAGAGGCAGGCAGGTGTCTGTGAGTTTGAGGCCAGCCTGGTCTACAAAGCTAGTTCAGGACAGCCAGGGCTATTAAACAGAAACTCTGTCTCAAAAAACAAAACAGAAACAAGAAGTCATCAGAGAATATAAATGGTAAATAGGAATGGAGACAGCTACAAGGGAGTGGCACATTTGACCACCACTGAAGTTAAACTAGCCTATATCCAAATTAGAATATAAAGCTTGCGGATGACGAGTGTAGAACTATACATGGTAAATACACACACACACACACACACACACACACACACACACACACACACACGTCAAGATGAATGTAATTTTAAAATTTTAAAGAGAGGGCCTGGCCAAGTAATTTTAAAAAAACATAATCATATGCTCGCAATAGGAAACTTTTTCTAGCCAAACAGGTTGAAAAGGAATGGACCACCCATATGGAAAGAATGCAAGGTAGCTACTATAATATCAGACAGAACAGAATTTAAACCAATGTGTTACAAGAAGGGAGGGAAGAGAAAGGGGTCAATTCAAGAGGGAACTATGACAGTGACAGACCACCCACATACATGCAGCAAAATGACAGAACAAGGGGAGAAACAGACAGCTCTACAACAGCAGGGACTTCAACACCCTCTCACTA